ATAATAATAATAATAATAATAACAATAATGAAACAAGTCAATTAACAATGAAAACAACAACAACAAATCGTTTGAGACATGCAAGTGATTCTGATTTGACTAAAGAACGTGGAAATGGAAAAAAAGGAACGAAATTATCATCATTTTTTCAAACAGAAGTATAGTCTTTATATTAAAGAAATACAGTATATGCCTTAATTATTGTTGTTGTTCTTGTTTTTGTATCTGTATATCCTAATTTATTCCCGGTGCTATTTTTTTTTCTCTCTCTGTATCTCTCTGTCTCGCTCTCTTGATATTCTATATGAAATATTAAATAAATAAATGTGCACGAATTTTCATCTATCTGTATATTATTTTCATGTCTTTTTTTATGAATACTATAAAAATAATAATGGTATTGTGTCAAATTTGTGACAGAAATTACTATTGATTTGTTCATTGAATGAAATTGCAGAACTTTATTTGAAAAGAAGACTCGCGATCTTCACAATGATCGTTGATGGAAAGAATTTGATGATAAATAGAAGTAAAGATTTCTAATGAAGGCTTTACTAATTGTTAGAATTCGATAATCACTGTGAAAAGATAATAAACATATTTATAATTGTTAAACTGACGCAGAAACTATCTCAACTAATTACGAAATATTTATTTATGTTCTTGACATAACTCACAAAATTTCATATTGAATCAAAAAAAAGAATTTTTTTCAACTACTCAAATATCATACTTATAGAAGTATATTGAATTACAAATAACTGTGATTAACTTACATGTCTTTCAAATGGGATATCTTGCATTGTCAATTTTTATAAAGACATTCGTAATACTCAATTTTATATTAAGGAAGAGATTCATCAGAATGAAATATTTGACAATTGTATGACAAGAGAATAAAGTAGAATGTATACCTGTTCATAAATAAATCAGGATAAATACTTTATATATATTGCAGATGAACCAAACTTTTTTTTTTTTTGGTTTCATCTCATAGATTTATTTTTAATATGTAATAATGACAGTCAAAATAGAAAGTGTTAGAAAGAAAAAGACGTAAAATATGTTATTTATACATTATGAAAATTAACATCATAAAACAAATACTTATTTATTATATTTTAAAATATATCTACTACTTAGGATTTTTAATTCAATATATTTACCTTCTTTTATTTTATGTAAACATTCATGGTATGACATTGTAAGTAAAGTAGAATGTATTGCACATATATATATATTATAAACAAACATTGTCGGAGTAGTCTACTTTCATTTATTCTGTACCTGTCTATATATATACTTCATATGAACACTTATTAAGCTTCATCTCTCGTATATTAATATCAACGATCAATTAATACAATGTAAATAACTTTTGATCAGAAATTGAGAAAAGAAAATTTCTTTTATTATCTAGTTTTGTTAAATAGGTAATTTTAAAAAGTAAGAAATTGACATTCTTTTTTAAGAAAATAATATTATTTGAAATTAAGAAGAGGTACAAAATGATTAGGTAACCAATTGTCTTTCTTTTGCGAAGGATCCATCATAACTCGATTACCATTAGAAAAAAGTAATCGAACTTCTTTGTTCATTACTAATGGTCCATTGTTTTGCTCTTGATTTTCATCTTCATGTATCAATGGTATAAATAACATATTATTAATATATTGATGGTGTAAATCATCATCACCATTAACTTTTGGATAAACACTAATTAAAGTAATATTTAATACAGTTGGTATACTAAGAAGATCCCAGATAGTAATCAAATTCGTATCATGCATCATTTCTTTTCTAACATAATCTTCAAAATTCTCAAGAAAACATGATAAATGACCATATTGAGCTATATAGTCATCTATATTAAGAACAAGTTCTATAATATTACGTGCTCGAAGTTCAACAGATGTTAAAGTCATTGTATCAGTGGTTGTACCAGCTCCTCCTCCTAATTTTACAAATGCATTATAAAAACAATTGCCATCACCAATAATTGCCATAGGCATGAAATTACGAAATTCTTTAGTACAATATGTTTGTAAATAAGTTTCAGCTATATGATCACGTTTATGAATACTTTGATCAAATATTTGTACTGGAGTATATACAAGTGAATAGGATTTTAAAATTGGTTTTAACATTTGACATACATGTTTAAGTTCATCATATGATTTTTCAGCCGCAAGACGTAATCTTGTTAGAATAGTATTGAACATTTCTGCACGTGCCATTTTCAAACAATCATTACATAGAAGTTGTTCATCAATAGATAATTTTTTATCTTGACAAAGAACACAGTAATTAGTTGATGATATTAATGTGGATGATAGTGTTTTCGATGATTCATTTACAATAACAGGAGTTTGATCGATACTATTGGCTTCTCTATTTACTTTTTGAGCATAATCAGTCCATTCTTTAAGAAAAATTTCGTATGTAGCAGTATCGAATAGAACAAATCGAACATCTTTAACATTATATGAAAATTCACGTATTGATTCAATAGAAACACGAGCTGCTTCCTGTGGAGGGAAATGATGAGCACCACATGATATTGCTGGATATGCAATTGAACATAACTGATAAAGGTTAGCAAGTGCTAATGATGTATGATAACATGATTTTAAAAGAAAAGTCGCATATTCTTTTGTTTCTTCACTATAAACTGGTCCGACAGTATTTATAATAAAACGAGTATTAATATTTTTATCATCATAATGTGCAACAAATATGCGTGATTGTCCAATTTGACATGAATCTTCTTTCATTGCTATATGAATAGATACGACTTGATCTGTAAAAAATTGTCCCATTAATTGATGTATACCTTTATCTAGTCCTCCACTAGGATTCATCCAGGTATTTGTAGAATTAACAAGAGCATCACATGGTTCTTGACTTAAATCACCATTTCGAATAAGTACAACTAACGAACCATTCGTAAATGTAAAACGAGTACTTGTTTCATCATTTTTTTCGATAGTACTGCGTAAATAAACAAAAAAAAATAAAAACTATAACGTTTTTATCCTGTAGAATCAATACTTACATGCCAGACATATTTATAATAGATGAATATATCTAATAGAAGCTAATCTCAATATTTTATGTGTTAAATTTTCCTAGATAATAATTTTACTTTCCAACTTGACGGTCTTTTGACAAACAAAACTTTTTCTACACCGTAAAATGCCTGTCGAGAATCTGATTTATTTTTTTTTCCTTTCTGTTCTTTTAAAATGTAAACCACATGTTTTTGTTATTTATGTCGAAGGTATGTAGTATATACGATTACGAGTAAAGGCGAATAGAAAGAAAGAAAAAACAACACAGCCATATTTTTAAATATATATATATTTTTTTTTAAAGAAGAAAAGAAAAGTATTCATATATCTACTTGTACACATAATAAAACAATATCTAATAAATATCGGAAAAATTAAGTTTTAACAAAGAGTTGCTACTGATTCATGTCGATAACGACGAAATTCAAATTCTACATCAATACGATATACTGCTGTAAGTATACAACTAACAAATACACAACATGTACCAGCTACGAATGACCAAAATGAATATCCATAAACTGTTATTGTTTGAAGACGTTCAAAGCCAAGAAATAATGCTACTGTAATTAATGCCAAGACAACTTTGAATTAAAAAATAATAAAATTATTTTTTCATGAGAAAAACGAAAGAATCGACTTACCGGTAAGAATAGTTGTAATCAATAAACAGTCAATCATACATTTGGAAAAACGAATATTATGAAAAGATCCATGTGTATTTATTGTTTGAGTAAAAAGTAGAGCAATAACACCGATGAATATACAAGAAAATGACACACCAATTATTACTTTTTGATATTCTATTCATAAAGAAAATTATGTTTATAAGTGTTATTTTATCGATATCAAATATTTTAAATCAAACTTCTCATTTCTGTAATATTGTCTCAGTATGAACAAAATCGATTGAATATATTTGTATTGATCTCATATTTTCATTGTCACGAATTAAAAGTAATTATAAAAAAAACAGTATCCAGAAAAGAATTCTTTTTCGTTACTAACTTTCAGTCAACTCATTAAATATTCTCTTAAATAACTATATTAATGTTTCATTTTTATTTATAAAAAAAAAATCTCTCCAAATGAATTATTCCTCTTGAAGACTATCAAGTACTTTAAATACTTCTATAACTTACCCAATAAATCAGGTCCATTTATCGATTCATTATGCCATTTAAATAATCGATTAAAACATACATAAGCATCATCATAGATATTATAATTCATACGACTACTACTCGTTATATTGTATACATATGAATATTGATCTAGATTATTTTGACGATAAAGTCGTTGACAAGATGTTATAATGCCATTTGAACGTTCACTAGTTATATTATTAATATTATCATCATCAATAAGTACAAGCCATCTTGATGTTGTTATACCCAATACAAAAAGTGAAATTGAAAGAAATAATAGAATAAAATTAAAGAATAATAAGCAACTCATGACTTTTAACTTTAAACTTCCTCTTTTATTCTAAAAATCGTTCGTTCGTTCTTTCTTCTTTTCTTATGTCTGTCTACTTTTGGCCGCCAGTTGGAGCCCGACAAGGAATATAAATGATTGTGATAAGAACGGGCAAAGAGTTTATATGTATGTATGTGTATGCACAACACACAAACACTGATGAACGTTGTATATAGTCGAAATATGTGTAATTCAAAACTCTCCTCTTATTCTTCTCTTGTGCAGATAAAGACACATATGCTCTACAAGAAAAGAAAAAATTCTTTCCTCTTTCTCTCGTTTTTTTCTTGTTCATTCTCTTTCACAAAGTATTGTATTTTGTAGGTATGATTTGTGAGAAGCAAACATGTATAAGAAAATGATAGACAAGCATCGATTGAAAATTTTCTACATACAACTGATGAAGACTTACATAATGAACGTGTATTTGAAGGAACCTGAAGAACACATCCGATTTATATCTTATATTTTTATCGAGATGATTGTTCATTCACTTAGTACGATGCACTTTTATATTAAGATCAAAGACAGAGAAGAACACATGCATGCATGTTCAAGTAGGATACTGTCTGAAGTGGAATAAATGAATGAATAATTACAAGTCATCATCTGCCTATGACACAATGTACAATAATAGAAAGAACAAAAATTTAAGTTGACAGTAATTTTTTGAAAGCTTACATAAAAATCGGATTATTTTCTTTTTTTTATATATCATTAAATTTTTTTTCATCTCGTAGAAAAAAAAGTACATTATTGAAATTAAAATATTTTTTATAATAAAAAGTGATGTATCAAAGATAATTCTCTTATTGAGTAGACTGACTTTTATATCATTTTATCAGGTATATAATTATATATTTTATTGCTACTACTTACAACATCAAAGAGAAGAAAAAATACTTAAAGCTAATGATCAAGTCTGTAATAGAAACGTGAGAAAGAGAAAAAAAGAACATATTTCTGACATGATCATCAATCATAGCAAACTTTTTGATTAGTCGTTTCTTCATCATAATAGAGATCATTATATGGCTGACAGGTAAATGACTTCTGACGTTTAAATAGTTCTTTCTATTACATAAATATGTACAATCTGAACAAAATATATTATTAATCATAGGCTTTTTTTTTGATAATCGTTCTGATTATATATTTACATTTAAAAAAAAAACAACAATCTTTGCTATCGTTTTAAATTGAGAAGATTATCTGTCAGACTACTGCTGACTATGGTTGATGCTAATGTACTTGGTGTTCGTGGTGAATGTTTAATAATTCCAATATTTCCAATATTTAATGGTGTTTTAGGTGTTCGATCACCAATAAGACCGCCTCGTACAACAGGTGATGGTGTAAGTGCATTTTGTCTTTGTGAATTTGTTGAGTGTGTACGTTGAATACCAAGTCGATTTGTTAATAGACGTTGTGCTGCTGGACTCATATTTGATACAAGTAATTCTTTCGTTTGTTTTGCATTATTAGTTGATGAAAAATTTCGATTTATTGTTTTCATTGCTTCAAGTTTCTTTTTACGATGTTGTGCTGCATTTTTTTCAACTAATTCTAATGCTAATTGTTCACGAAATGGTGTTTCAATTATTTTAAATTGTGGTCCACTATTTATTGTTTGGGGAGTTTCATTACCAGCATCCAAACAAAATGGTGTACCTTCGATTTGACCCCATGTCATCATAGGTGATTCATCACCATGTGCACCAGGCATAGGTGATGGTGTAACAACAAAACCATAGCCACTAACTTGTGGACTTTCTAAATTCTTAATTTCTCGACCATCAATATCAATATGTGGTCGAGTAGTAGGATTGGGTCGTGCTGGTGTTCCAATACGACTTGATAACTCAGTTTTTAATGTCGATGGATCTACTTCCAAACGAGTATTATTATGATGAATAGTACGAACATGTTTAGCTTGTTCTATTTTTTCAGCTGCAGTTAATTTTGCACCTAGAGAAATAAAATAGAATTATTTGATTTAAAATTATTAAACAAAAAATATTATTACCTTCAGGAAAATACATAACAGCATTTTTAACAGTATAAGGCCAAAATTCTATTGCATCAAGATTATTCGTTTTTGCCTGTTCTTCAATTGATGGAACTGGTAATTCATGAACTGGTCCATCATCACTACTCTATAAATTAAAAAAAAATCATTTTTAAAAATATATTTTCAATATTAAATTGATGAGAAAATTATCCTTACTGTCGTAGAAAATATCAATCTTAAAGTCTTATCAACGCTGAAGAAGTGATTAACTGAAAATTTGATAAAAGCGAACTTTATCAGAACAGAAGATATTTGTTAGGATTTCGATGAGATTTTTATAGTATTTATTTGATGTAATAATCGATATGAAAATTCTTACTGAATGTGTTAATGCTTGTTGTCCATATAGCCAAGCTTGATGAACTTTTGCACGTTCTTTCTTTTGTGTTTCTTCCATAACTTGTTCAAATGAAATATTATCTTCACTTGTATTTATTGATAAATATTGATCAAGTCGAAGATCACGTGCTTTTTCTAATAAAAATCAATGAATCTTTTTTTCATAAAAAAACAAAATACTAACTACGTGCTGCTGATGCTGCTGTCGATGCTGATGTAACAGATTGTTTATCAAAATCTTCATCATCATCGTAATTCGTATGTCTACGTCCTGATAATAATTCTTCACGTTCAATTCCATCATCTTTTGTTGTTTTTGGTGTATCACGTCCTCTATCAACAGGTGTTTCGAATGAACTTGATGGTGTATCTAAAAATATGAATGAATTAGTTGAAATATTCAATCAATTAATTTTACTTTACCTCGATGACCCATCATTGATGGTGATGGACTAGGACCACGATGGATACTATACGTTGCATAAAGATCTCGTAATGCAACTACATCATTTTTTTCCAGAGCAGTTAAATATTTTTGTTGTGCTCTTAAACGTTTAATATCCGGAAAAAAATCACGTTCAATAATATGTCCTAAATCTTGAACAAATTTTTCCTCTTCAAGTATTTTACGCTTTTGATGACGAGAAGATGGTGGTGCCGGTGGTAACGGTTTACGGAAGACATCAACATCTTTTGTTGAATTGTGTGGTGTTGGAGTTGAACTTGCTTCTAATGCAGGTGCCTTTGATGTATCTTCAATCATAATTATCTATCTAGAAAAAAAGAATAGAAAAAATATTAGAGTAAAACTATCACATCTAATTGCTTGAATATACAATAAAAATAATATATGCGAGATTACAATAAACAGAATACAAAAAAAAGTTGAGTATTTAATTATTATTGGATTTTTTGAGATCCATTGGACGAGCGCCATCACATGGTTCAAATTCATAGAAACTTGCTTTGCCTTTATAACCATTTTTAATAGTTTCAATACATTTCTTTAATGAATCTTTTTTCACTAATGTTACAGTACAACCACCTAAATAAATAAATTAAAAGCTTGAAGAAAAAAAGTCATTTTTACCATTTCCAGCACCAGTCATTCGAGAACCATATACACCATCAACACCACGTGCTAATTCGACTAATTGATCTAACTCTTCACATGATACTTCAAAATATTTACGTAATGATTCATGACTTTCATACATAATACGACCAAATTCATCATAATCACCGTTTTCTAAAAATTTAGCACCAGCTTCTGTACGAATACGTTCACTTATAACATGATGTGCACGTCGATATGTTGCTGCTGGCATTTTATTACGACCTTCTTCAAGTTCTTCCATTGTTGAAACATCACGTAAAGTTTTATGACCTAAAGAAACATTTTATTTCAGTTCAATGACGAATAAAAAAATATTAAATGAGGCAAAAAAATAGTTCCAATCAAAAGACATTAAACTATTCAATGAAATTTGTCTTCTATAGAAGATTTAACTCGTTGTTCAAATTTTGGCAATTCATTAGAAAAAGATCTGTCAGTCTACTTTACGTACAATCTTTCAAAATCTCGCCCTTTAGAATAAGTGTCAACTATACCTAATAATTTAGCAGCGTCTTGGCAATGTTGTACATTTTCAGCAAATGTTCCTGATGATAATTCATGTTTAACATTTGAATTTGTCACTAATATACATGTATCTTTATCATCGAATTTAATTAATTTAGATGTATTATCATGACAATCAACTAGTATAGCATGACCAGCTTTACCCATACATGATGTATATTGATCCATAACACCACATGGAACATTTGCAAAATCTTGTTCAGCTTTACAACATAATAATGCCATTTCGACTTTTGATAGTTGTAAATCATTAGCATATTGATCTTTGTAAAGTAACTCAAGGAATATACCCATCGATACTTCGATAGATGCTGATGAACTAAGACCACCTCCGATAGGTACTGATGTTGCTATAAGTGCACGAAATGGTCGTTTTTTATTTGGTTTAATACGTTCTAAAAATAATGCAAGTACACCAACAACATAATTTCCCCATTTTGGTGATTCTAATGGTGTAATTTTTTCCTTTTGATCAATTTCAAATGATTTCGATTCTTTGATATCTTCTACAAAAAAATAAAATTGTTTATTTATTTTTTTCAATCATAAAATAAATGAATTCTAATTACCTGATAATGTACGAAAATAACATTTTTCACCTTCTGTTTCATCTAAACCTTTTCCAATAATCATCGTACCAATTGGTGTAGCCATTGGAAATACAAAACAATCATTATAATCTGAATGTTCACCAATTAAATTAACTCTTCCAGGCGCAAATGCACAGATTGTTGGTTCATCATTTGAAAATTCTTTTCGATAAGCATCCAGAAGTTTAGCTTGAAGTTCTTCAACTGTTGTTAATTTCTCTGCAGACATTATCTACTTACGAAAGAAAAGTCAATAAGTGTGAAAGAAAAATAAGTCCGAAAAATATATGTTACTCATAACCAGTATTTTTTATTGGTTCTAATGAAGAACCAATGAAAATTCTTGTTTGTTTTATATGTTCTTTTTTTTTTCTTGATGAATTTTTTTTTGTTTCTTTTACTATGAGTACAAGCGAAACAACAACTATGACAGCACCAAATCCAGCTGCAGCACGTATACCGAAAAAAACAGTAAAAGATTTTAAGTTTATTAAAGAAATTGGTAGCGGATCATATTCAACTGTAAGTTAAGATTATATAACAAAAGAAAAATTTGTTTTCTTTTTGCGTCTTTTAATTATTTAGGTTTTTCTTGCGATTGAATCAGGCACAAATCGTGAATTAGCGAGTATGTTTGAATTTAATTCATTATTATAAATTTAAAATGATCTTTTTGTTGTATTTAGTTAAAGCTGTTTCAAAAGAATTAGTAACAAGAACAAAAAAAATTAGTCAAGTCTTTCGAGAAAAAGATATTTTAGCTCTTCTTACTGATTGTAGTTATGCAGTTAAACTCTATTGTACATTTCAAGATGAAAGAACTCTTTGTAAGTATTTTATTCAATTGTATGAATGTTTACGTAGAAAATCATTGCTAATCAAAGTTTTTTGTTGATTTGGTACAGGAGACATATAGTGTAGATTTTCATATTAACAGAAATCGAACAAGAATAGCTAGAAATAATAGTTGTATGCTTTATTATTTCTGAAAATTCAAGAATGTATAGAGATTAATTACAATTGAAAGAGAATACTGTACACTATATCTACAATTTCCTGATAGAAATTGATATCATCTATTAGTTTTGAGTTAATGACTCGTACGAAAATAGAAAAGACGGTATTTCAGATATGTTAATGTTCTTATGGTCTTGAACTTTGTTTAATCTAGGAGAATAAAGTATGAATTCGAGTTTTATATAACATAATGTTCTCAAAAAAATGTTTTTGTAACATGATCTCTAGTATCGTTTTTCTTAGAATTTCACCTAGATATATACGATATTTTAATCATGAATTTATTCTAGATTTTGGTCTCACATACTGTCCAAATGGTGATCTTCTTCAATATATTACAGATGCTGGTCATCTTGAAGAAGAAGTTGTACGATTTTATGCAGCAGAAATTATTGAAGCACTTGAACAATTACATAATCGACATATAGTTCATCGTGATCTCAAAGTAAACTTACATTGCTATCGATCGATTTATTCTAACTTCAAAAAATATTATTTTTATAGCCAGAAAATATACTTTTAACTGATGATATGCATATACAATTAACTGATTTTGGTTCAGGTGTTATTATGGATAATAATGATTGTAAGTTTAATTAGAATAGAAAAAAATAAATAATAATATTTATCAATCTTTAAGCTCCTCCACAATCAAATGGTACTAAAAATGTGGATGAAGAAAAAAAACCAATAAAACGAACTAATTCATTTGTTGGTACCGCTCAATTTGTAGCGCCAGAAATACTCAAACGTGGTGCAATTCATGCTGGGTTTGTGAAAATAATTCTTTTTTCTTTCATTTATTATAAAATATAAATATTTTTAGATCTGATTTATGGTCATTAGGTTGTATTATTTATCAAATGACTACTGGAAAACATTTATTCCGTGGATAGTAAGTCTTATTTTGTTCTATAGAACATCAAATTTTAAGAAACAGATTTATAAAAAACTAATTGAATTAGTTTAGTCATGAATATGATATTTACAATGCAGTTGCTCGTGTGTCTTATAAATTACCTGATGATTTTCCTCCTCTCATTACTGATCTTGTTCAAAATCTTGTAGTATGTAGTTTTTATGTATTATCTTGTCTCGAGATTTTTGTTATGTAGCGTCTTGAACCAAGTGAACGACTTGGTAGTGCAGAAACAGGTGGAATGGAGAAACTTAAATCACATGCATTCTTTAGTCAGTTTTCTTATGATACAAAATGGGGTACTCTGTTAAATCAACGATCACCACTTGAAACAAAAGTCAAACTTAGTTCAAGACCAAAACTTAGTAATGATGAGGTAAATATTTTAATGATGAAAAGAATTTTTCTTATGAAACGATATAAGTAGATACTTCTTGATCTACGCAAAAAGAAAAGTATCGGTCTCCCTTGCTTTCTATTTAAGTATAAATATAGATATTAATTATCGTTATCCGAAAGAAAATCTTCGATATGAAAGATTGAATAGTAAGTAGCTATGACAGTGAATCACCACGAATATCATTATATAAAAACGTACGTAAATGTCTGACAATTTCGCATAAATACACTTGTCATTTCACGTGTATTTTTATTTCGTATTTATATTAATTTTTAACGCTTTCTTATCGTATCGAGTGTTTATGAAATTTAATAGTATATATTGAGTCATTAAGTATATATATATATGAATATAATTTTTGCCTGTTTATTCGTCAGGTGAAAACCTAGTCTTTTATGCATTCGATAAGAATCTTTTTAGAAAAATTGAGTTTAATTTTTAATTGAAGATATTTATTCAATTGATTATTTTAGCTTGAAACAATGTCATCAGGTTTTGATGATCGTGTTGAAGCTCGTTTAATTGGTTTACGTATGGCTTCTGATGCTCCAAATGGGATAGATGCGATAGTCACTGGCTCATCAAATATTTCATTATCGAATGAAACTTCATCTTTGCACGAAACAGATAATCACAGTACATTGTCCGATCAAAGTAGTACAAAATCTATGTATAATTCTCCGTCATCGAATTCCTCTTTTAACAACAATGCACCTGTAATAGCTCGAAGGTAAATTGACTGATAAAATCTATCATACTTATTCAAAAACAGAGTCTTAACTATATTTTGATACGTGTTTTTTTGTTATTCTATTTAGATTACAAATGCCTGATCATGCTTTATCATTATCTGAACAAGCTTCAAAAAATGTTTATCATAAATTTGTGCAAAATAATCTGATTATTAAACAAGGAATTTTAGATAAGAAAAAAGTATGAAAATATTTTAGTTTATTATTTGAAATTTGTTTTTTTTCTCAAAGGGTTTATTTGCTAAACGACGAATGTTTCTTATTACTGAAGGACCTGCTATTTTCTATGTTGATCCTGATGCAATGGAATTAAAAGGAACGATTTCATGGTTTGTTAATTGTTAAAAAAATTTCTAGAATGAAAAATAAAAATTTCATTAAATAGGACAGCTGATTTACGTATCGAACAAAAAGATATGAAAACATTTCTTATTCATGTGGTAAATATTAAATAAATATTTTATGAATAATAAATTAATATTTATAATATTTTTTTCAGCCAGGTCGAACATATTATTTAACTGATCCTGATCAAGATGCAAATACTTGGTGTAAAAGTCTTATATCGATTCATTATCGATATTATAATACAGATCCAAATCGAAAACTATCGACAACGACATCATATTCATCATCATCATCATCATCATCTGCAATGCAGACTATTGTTCCGGTGACTGAACTTTAATGAATTGTTTTAAAAAAAAAATAAAAATAAAACGAATACATCTTCTTCTTTTTCTTTTTTTCTCTCTCGTTCGATTTAATTGATCTTTAGAAATCTTATGTATTTTTTATTTTATGTTTAATATTTCATCAGTTTGTGTATGTGTGTGTAGAATATTATTTCTTTATTTTCTTTTGCAAAACTTATGAATTATGGAAAGATGACGAACAAATATTAACATACACAAGAAAATAATTGTAAAACAAATGAAATTCGTATTTATGATAAATTTGTTTTTTGATATATTTCAACAATACTGAAAATTTTAATAGTACTCATTTATATCTTGAGGGTTTGGGTGTGACCGGAGAGAAGATAAACCCTCATCCAGATCAAGTTTACGTAAATATATTTCAGAATAACAAATACTTCAAGTTCTTAGATAAGTAGTCTTTATGATATTCCGATCTTTTCACCTCTTATTAAGTAAAAAGGCGATTGTTCACACTCGCATCCACAATTCAATTAATTTCTTTTTACATACTGGAACGAATAAACTCGTCATCATCCTCCACATGGTTGTGGTATAGTCTCCTTAAATTTTTGTCTTCGTCATATAGCTGGATGTGAATATAATGATAAAAGATAACATAATCATGAGACAACATTCTTCTTTTTTTCCAATTTTTGTTGCATACTTTAAGAGAAACTTGGTAGGTGTCACTTGCAGTTGTCCAATATATTTATGGCATCCAATTATGTGTCAGTATCTTTAGTTCCCATAAGTGAAGGTGAGCATGATAGCTGATCAACCTTGCAAATATATTGACAAATATTCTTTTGTTATCAAGCCAAAGATACGAGCTCAGCAAAAAATATGCATAGTCATTCTCGGAATTCTTAATAACCTACTTTGAAAAATTATAGATTATTGCATAGATCGAAAGCTGGTTTCTGTGATGACTCTTTCAGCTTCTGTTTTACTTTGAGAGAAGAAAGTTATAATTGAATTTATTCTCCAAGAAGAATCGGACGAAAGCTCCAGTTACTGTAAAGATTTGACGTGATGATTTCAAAGGCAATCTTTGTATGAAAAACTATCGTAGGGCTACTGAATGTCATTTCATTTATTTCGAGTTTCTACTCTTCTTCAATTAATGTTCATCACTTCATATGTTTTGAAATCTGGTAGTTACAAAATCTATTTAAAGATTTCTTACTATTGAGATTTTATAGTATATCAGTATCAATCGTAAGTGAAATAGCGTGGAATTCATAATAGTAAAATCCATTAAGAATATTTGATCACGATAAAATCTATTTAGTCGACGATGTCAACATCTTGATCCAAACAGACGTTAATGAAAGTGGCGACGAAGCATTGATGACTCTCATAGAACCGGACGATCATCAAGGTAGATTACTTTTAAGGTTATTCACGGCTGCTTCCCAACATTCGTCACCGAACATGGTTGACCGTTTCAAAGCACAAGCTCGCATCATGAGAGATATGCGTCAGCTTATGAAAGAAATTCAAAACGAGATGTCTTATTACAAGCAAATGGGTGCTGATTTCGTTAGAATTAGTCAAGACTTTCACAATGAAGTATGCAAGTTTCGACGTGAAGCTAATAAGCTTTATCAACATGTCGAAGAAGTCAATATACAACTCGATTTGCTGATCGAAATGTTTGTGGACTATGATCGACCGTTCAACGACAATAGCACTCAGGATAATGTCAATCTATGTGTCCAGATTCTTCAAGAACTTGCGTAAGTTATCTATATGTATTAAAAATTTTTCGCACAACTCATTTTCACTCATGAAAGATTTCAATATTAGTCTGATTCAAAAGTAACCGATAAAAGCAGGAATCAAGACAGTAACAACATAAAAATAATCTGAAGGCATATTTAACTCCAATCAACTTCAGATGGCTTCACTGGCTCATACAGTCAGTTGAAGTTAACCAGAAACTCATAAGGAGCTATGCACAAAAACGATTTCTAACCGAAAATATTTGTTAGAGGTCTCGGCAAAACTCTTTTTAATTCTCCAAGAAAGATAGTGAAAAGAGGCGAATATTTCCTGAACGCCGGCTATGAACGTTGCGAGTATGTTTCTCTCGAGGAGAGACGAGGACTGCGACTTCTCAATATTTGGAAATTTTGTTTTTTGCTTGTTGATTTAAAACTCGCTGGATGTCTATAAAAATTAACAAAAGTCTCTGATTTCATCCTTCGTTTTTGTACCATTTCCGAATATATTTCGAAAACATACAGACTAGGGAAACAGATAATTATGACGTAGACATCGTATCTTGACTCTATTTTCATTCGAACGCTATAGTCGAGGAAATCTGCGCTATATTTGCTACAAAAGGAAATTTGTTTGATTTCTACTTTGCATTGTTCTCTTCCTGTATGTTGAATAAATAGATTGTCAGTATCAAACCAAGTTTTTTTTCCTATTAGTAACTCTTCAAGGATGGTTTGAGTCAAACTCTACGATCGCATTTTGTCCCATCTCATATCATTTAAAATAAATTATAGCTGACTTAATGATTTTAACTGATTTTATGCAGCTCCAAATGGACTGAAATCTCAGCTTTTACTCTTTTGATACAGCTTGAGATGCAGACCGTACTAAATAATGATGCGGAAGATTATAGATTAAATCATCAAGGATATTATTTTATATGCTTCTCACTTTAGTGGAATGGAAAGATTCAATGAGGATGCTGCTCAAACATTTCAAAACGTTTCACAAGAAATAACTGAATTCCAAGATAACCGAGTCGAACCAGCTAGAATCAAAGCAGTAAAACGAGAGCAACGACTGCGAATGATAAAAGACACTACGATTGCAAGTACGACAGGTTTGGTTGCCGGTGGATCGATTAGTGGTGGTCTTGTGGCTTCTCCAATTTTAGGCGGTGCAGGTGCTTTTGTACTTGGCACTACAGTATTTCCGCCAGCTGCAATTATCATTGGTTCTATAGCCGTTGGTTTACTTGCGATGGGAGCAATCGGTTGGACCATCTCAAAGCTCTTGCGAAACTATCGTGCCTACAGTTCTGCAGTCGCTCAAAATCTAGAAAAACTTTCGACATTATGCGACCAAATGAAACAAGAAGCATCGTTCATGAAAGAGAAATCTGACGATCTTGCCGTGAGAATTCAAGACTTTTCTGCTTCGATGAGAGGTTTCAGATATGGTAGCTTATCCGATCGACAGCGACGCGCTCATTCGGAAATCTGCCGTAAATCAAAGGAGAGAAATCTGGCACTGATGCAAACTCTACGCGAAATCATCGATTTTAAAATACTTTCATTAGCGCAAATTAGCACATTGCTTCCAAATAGAAGTCAACGTGCTATTCGTGAATAGAACAAACTATTTTTTGTATTGACAATATCTATTATTAGCGGCTTCTTTTTTTCTATCGTGATGTATTGATATAAAATTGTTTATATAATCATGAATAAACATCTTTCTTGTCTAATACCGTTCCACATAGAGCTTGAAACTTATTTTATCACAGTATATGGTGAGTGTAAAAAAGAAGGACACTCTCTTCCTCATCTACCTTCCTAGTATACGGGAACTGTATACCAACACATCAATCTATAATTAAGCTCATCCATAACATTACCATCGACCTCTTCACTCAGACTAAATATAGAATATCTTCTTTCAAATTCAATGCATTGTATAATGAATAAATGATTATCCGTAGAATTTTGATTCATTTTACTTTGATAGCCCATCGGACTTCGATCAAATCCAATACAGTTTGTATTGATTAAATGTTTATAGAGACTTAATGTTGGAAGATTCATTATTTTAGAGTTTATAAACTAATATTTTAATAAGAAACATATTAATGCGTTATAAAAATCTACTAGTAAACGAAAGTAAAGTACAACTTAAAAAAAGAGTGCATCCACACCTACACCCTCAAAGCGACATCTATATACGCATGTTACCTACACATTCACTTCTCTTTTTAAAAAAAGCTTTTACATTATTTTTTAGTTTATTTTTACCAAGCCATACGTTTTCATAAAACAATGACATAGTTATTCTTACTATTGGATATATTTCAAGTACTTTGTTATTGATCGCTTACAATTACAACGTTTGTTAATTCGATCGATTTCTGAAGTAGGACAGGACTATACTAATTTGTATCTATCATGCCATCAAAAACTCGCACATTAATTACGTCATCGAATACATCTGATCTTTGTTCAATGCGTTTTGCACCTGTACCTTATATTCGTATGTTCTTTTTTTCGAATTCTATTCTAAATACTATTATATTGAAATATAGCTACTGATTATACTGACAATTCACCCTATAAAAAAAGTGTTGAAGATGTTACTGAAGAAACTCGTTATATATTAGAAGAATTTATTATTGAACGAGCAATCGAAGATGGTGTCGATTTAAAGTTAGTTCGACCTATAATCGATGTTGATCTTAGTGCACGTGAGTTATTAATTACTATTGTATTCAAAATATGAATTAATTAATATTATTTTATCTAGTTCCACAATATCGACAAATTCAACAAATTGCTTATCGATTACGGATAATTGGTGATGAACTCGATGCTGATCAAAGAATTTCAAGGTATGAATTAAATTTATGAATCTTTTCTCTCTAAATGTATCTATCAAATATTCTTTATATAAATAATATTTCAGAATGATTGATTAAGAGGTAAGCTAGAATAGAAACAATGCTTGCTATTTACCATTGCTCCTACCCCTTCTTTTGTTGCTAAATTTTGATTTTGTAATGTAGACAAGAATAAATATTAAATTTTCTTTTATTAGTATGGTTGATCAAGTGCCTATTAACAGTCCATATGAAACATTCAGTGATGTTGCTAAAGAACTATTTTATGATGGTATCTATAATTGGGGACGAATTGTAACACTTTTTTATTTTACATATAAATTGATTTTAAAAGTATGTACCATTAATAATAATAAGAAGAAGAGAAAATTTGTATCTATTTATTATAGTCACTCCAAGATGAACCATCATCAGTTTTACATGTTCTTGTTGAATGGACTGTACGTTTTGTTAAAGAAATTATTGCTCCATGGATTATACGTAAAGGTGGTTGGGTAAGTTATTTTATTTCAATTTAGATAATTTTTCAACTTTTCTCTTTATACTTTAGTTGGTTGTTTTACGTGATGCAGTACCTCAATCACGATTAACAACTATTGGTGTTTTTCTTAGTGGAATGGTTGCAACTTTCATGGTTCTTTATTTTTTTCGACGAATATGATACAATATTTATTATACAATAAGGCAAAGAGAAAATAGTCGCTGTACGACACTATTCTATTCAAATATTATTAATTATATTTATATATATATATATATATTATCTTATGTGTGATTGCTTGTTTTTTATATTGTGCAATTCGATAATTCGAAGTCAATTGTCATAAAAATATATTAATATTAAACTTAATCAAATATGAATTTTACACTAATATATAAACGACCTCATGAGGGAAAAAAGCATATGAACTATGTTTTTCCGTTAGACAACTTTTTTTCTGAAACGACAAATATACACTTTACTAGAATTTATATCATCGATAAAAATAAATCAAAAGATAAGAATTTCATATTTTTGGAGCTACTAATAAATTCAAAAAGAAAATAATTTTAGGTTATGTCGAAAGTGTCACATTTATTCTTTTCAATTATATAGTTTCGCTCAGCTATTATACATTGAAAAAACATGATCTATATATATTTATTTATCTAAATGATTATATGCCATACTAAATGACAAGAAGGAAAGCGATAAATTACTTAATTTTTTAAAGTTTGTTCGATTGCTTTTGATATTTTATTGTTAGAAGCTCAATACTTCTTCTACAAGCGTTAGTTTGTAGTGTTTCTTTTGTGTGTCACTCTAACATATCTATTTACAATAATTACGTTTTATTTTGTAACTGATAATTGTTTATCTGTTATGAAGGTTATTTATAATTAATATTTTCATAAAATATTCAATATTTTTTTGCGTCTTTTACTAGAAAATGGGATGAAATAGCGTCACATAACAAGGTTACATAGTACATAATGTTGTATACCTTTGGAGCGTGGGTCGATCTTATTCTATTATTCTTCAGTCTTTTTCGAGCATGTATATAAGATGAGAGGTATGAGTAATTTAAGACAAAAAAACTGAAATGTCATTAAAAACAGCTAAAGCCGTGTTAGTGATAATCGAGAAAGTAATAACATTGGTTATTTTTGCGCAGTACGTGTTGATGAAATATTTACATACTATATAGAAAGAAAAAAAAGCAAATCTAAAAGTCAATTTTTTAATTTCTGAAAAACAAATAAATACAAAAGAAATTTCTAAGTACAATTTTTGTTATAAAAAAGATTATATTCTGATCTATCTAAATCAATAAAAAATATATGATTAATAAAATTCATCAAGTAATTGACCTAATTATGAAACTCAAAATATAATTGTATATAGATAAAATCTCATTATTAATATCGATGAAAATATATCTAGTGAACAAGAATTACTCTGAATATGAAACTATTTTTTACATATATCATTAAGGTTTCATTAATTAGAAAGAATTTGATGAGTTTTGTTTTTATTTAAAATAAATTTTCTATAAATTACATCATCTAAAAGATTATGAATTCTATAATGTTACTAAATGATTTTTTATTTTCTTTGTCGACTTCACACATTACAATCATTGTATACTTAATATAGAAAAAAGAAATTTTCAGTATATTAACAATTAAAATTTCAAATAATTATCATCATCAGACAGATAATTATGATGACGACTTATTGATGAAGTTATCACTTTATCAGGCATAGGTGTATAAACTGATCTATGTGGAGATTGTTGTTGTTGTTCGGATTCTTTTCGATCAACACTACGACGTTCATAATTTACAGATCGTCGATGTCGACTTTCACGTTCTTTTCTATTCTCTTCAATTTCATCAGCTTCATCAAGTTCACGAGGTGAGACATAAAGTGGATAACGAAGACCTTCAGTTGAACGTACACGTCTTGTTGGTGATGTGATTTGTCGATTATTTGGACGGTCATAATCACGACGACGAGTAGCACGTTCATTTCGTCGATAATGTGGACGACTATAGGATGATGGTGATAGAGCACGATTATCAAGATTTGATATTAATGCAGCTGTTGTACGATTTGCTGATGGTATTGGTGGTGGTCCAGGAATAATAATTTCTTCATCACTATAATAAACTCCACGTTTTAATGGTGCTTCAATACGTAATTCTCCATGTTCCAAATAAGAAACAACTTTAGGTAGATCAACTGTATTTGGCAGAGTTATTTTACGTGTAAATTTTTTTGATACACGTTGTTGAGTTGGATCCGGTGATTTTGATGTATTCGTTTTACCTTGTACAATTAAATCTCGACCTCGTACAAATACATCTAATTCATCAGCTGTATAACCACGACAGTCAATACGATATTCAAGTTTACGATTACTACCAGAATTTGATTTACTAGATTTTGTATCATCACGTATTAATTGTGGACCACCCGTTGGTGATGTTAACATACGTTCAACATCTGGCGAACGTAATAAACGAGTATTAGTATTATTTGTACTCATATATGATGAACGATTTACACGAGTATTCGATCGTTCGTCACGAGGTATTTCAATAATTAAACGATTTGTATTTCGTTCGACATGAGATTGTAAACGATCAACGTCAGCGTCGTATGGTATTGTAAATTTTTGGACAGCAACATTTTTTTTATTACTAGATGAATATGGATCAGATGATGAACTTGCTTGACGACGTGCAGTTATAATTAAACGACCACGATGAGATTTATCAATAGAATAATCACATTTTTTTGAACCAAATGGTGATTCAACAACAATACGTGTGACAGATGAAGAAGATAATTTAGGTGCAAGATTTGCTGCTAATGTTTGAAGAGGTGATTGCCATCCAGATCCAATAACACTATCAGATCGTCGACCATGATTAGTAAATTCATCGTCCGAATCTGAATAATGGCGACTCATAAGTAGAAAAAAAAGGTGTTCTTATTCCAATCCGTTTAATGACAAGCAAAAGGTACAAGAAGAACAGTAAATTGACCGCAAAATAATGAAAGTAACAAGAAAAAGAACGATAACTCGATGTATATTCAAAAAATCATTTAGAATATATCGTATATGCTATTAAACAACGATTGAAGTATTTCTATACAATCATCATATTATGACTTAAAGAATATATATAACCTTCTGGATTGTACATATAATATACACAAAAATTTTAACAATATATCGCTTTTTTTTATAGTTTTTTATGAGAACGAATCATCGGATATTTCATCTATAAATAGATGTTTATGCAAGAAAAAGAAATTCTTCATATCTTGTTTGATTCATCATGCATCGATAGATCATTGCCTGTCGATGATTCACAAAAAAAAAAGCAATTGATTTTTGTCAAACGATTTCTAATAAGTACATTGACTTGTTATTAATACTGAATCAATCAATACTTAATAATATGAGTATTAAATTTGTTTTAGTAAAGTACAAAAAGTTATAACTCCCAAAACACAATAAACTTGTTCCATATTGGGAATTGGAAGTGTTTGTATTATACTACGCAATATAGGTTGATTATTTATCCTAAAGTGTTAAATTATTATTTTAATTGTTCTATAAAATATAAATATTTTTTTTCTCCAAATTAATATTAAACTGATATTCATTATTTAAAAATAATCATTAAAAAAGCAAAATAAATAATTTTAAATGTTATAGTTATATCTTCAAAAGCAACAAAAATATAAAAGAATTTTTACTTATCTATAAACAAATTTTTATTGTTAATAGTTAAAAAGCAAGTTTTTATTTTCAGTAAAATTAGACGTTTATTTTATTGGTAAGAACAATAAACGCAAAAGAAAAATGACGTATTGCAGATGAAGTGGAAACCGTGTGTGTAGTCTTCAAATTTCAATCTCGATCAATAACAGACCGACGTCGTCGTCGACCATTACCCCAACCACGACGTATTCTTTCTAGAATTAAAAAATATATATTAGTAAAAGTTAAAACATTATTGTTTTTTTTTGAAATAGTTTACAAGAGTCTAATTAGGTGATAACTTACCATCAGCGATTTGATTTATTGGTTGGAAAGCATATTGTGGCCACACAGCATCAACTTCATTTGGAATAGCTATCATCACTTTTGTTAATGGAGCAATATCTTGATATGATTCAGAATGATACGGAGATGCATATGGTAAAATTCTATATGCCAATGTTGAACTTGAAAGCATTAAAATAAAGGCAAAGACAATAAATATATAATTGGTATTCATTTTGTATCAGCAGTTGACTATTTTGTTTTGAATGCTAATCTTAAATATAAAGGACTGATTATCGTTCATATTTGTATATATATGTAATAAATATTATATTTCCGTCCTATCTTTTTTCTCTAATCGTCACCGGAGGTGAAACATAGATAATCACGCTTCTTTTCCATTCTTTTTTTTTATATTAAACAACTAGTGTCTGATCATCTGTTTTTTGTATAATAAAATTGTTTTACTTACTTTTATATATGTTTTATTATTTGTAAAAGTAAACTTTTAAATAAAATTCAACTATTTAAATTATCGATGCTAATTGACTTTATTTCTATGGATGTAAAAGTAAGTTTTATATGTGATGTTCGCATCAATAGAATAGTACTTCAATTTTATAGCAGAGGTGTAGAATCTTCCTCGTGCACCCCCACGCGGAAAGGGGAGGTGAGAAGTTTTTTAAACACTGTATTTTCCGAGGAAATTTTTGGTTTTTGGGAAGATTCGATATCTCTGGAATTACAACTGTCAAATGGAAATAGTACACAACATCTAAAATAGAAATTACCACATTATATTACACTCTATAGTCGTATCAAAAGAACTCAGTATTTTGTTACTTCACTACATGCTAATTAACAGACATGGACAGACGACAGTATCAATAAATTATATACAACGTTATAATCTGACTTAGTAAAACTCTTTCGAGTAAAAGTTATTTTGTGTAATTGCTGTAAAAATAGGATTCGTTTCCTCAATGGGATGAACCGTATGGTGTAAAATATTACTGATTATATCACTAATTCTAGTTACCATACGGCATAAGAGTACTCATTTTCAACAGTATCATATGCTAAACATCTCTTTATAAGAGTAAAAAAAAGAGATGGAAAACTTGCTTTTGAATTAGTTCTCTAACTCTGATAACAACTTACAAATATCTTTAATTTTCATACGAAATTGATATAATCAATCGGCTTAAATATAATCTAATATGCGTCAAAGAGTATTGCGAATAGACGTATTCAAAAATGGAGAAGAGAGATATGTAATTCGACAGAACATCTCAGATTCTATAGAAGAGATTACTTATTATGTTCTTTTAACATTGTGGAAAACTTCATTCGTGAAATACATGTCTATATAAGAATACAATTTATAACTCAGTGATAGCATGAAAGACTGAAATAAAAGAAATACAAGTTAGTAACCACATTAACCTAACCAAAAAAAAAAGAAAATGCAATTCATCCATACATATATATTACTTTTTATGTCTCAATAGACTTATATCAAAAATATCTCCCATGAAAGAATACAAAGTTCAATATTATAGAAGAAAACTTGTGAAATTCAATTGAAATATTAATTTATTGATCAATATATCAATGTGTAAAATAATGAAGTTTGTCACCCTTTACAAATATAATTATTCTACTGTATACATTTTTAATATCATAACTTTATTAGTATTAAAAAAATGAAAAATTTTATATGAACTATATTCTATATTATGGTATTTAGTCTTAGAAAAAATAAGCGATATTAATTGAGTTGTTATTTTTAAAAACTTTTTATCGACAATACGAAGCAAATGAAAAAGACTTATCTTCTATAAATAGAACTATTTAATATGGAATATTTTATAATAGATTTTAAAGACTATACATTGTAAGGGCATTTTTATTATACTGCTGTAAATCTATCATGTCTAGTTCGCAAGATGTTTTTTCTAAGTCACTTACGGCTAATTTTATCTTCAATGAAGATCATTCGATTTTCTTTTATGTGAAAATAAAATATTTAATTTCAATAAATGACTTCTTGTTATGTATTATTCAAAATCAGTTAATTTACATAGAAACTTATAGACATAAAATTTCTTATATGTTCATATGTCATCTCAGACTGTCTAGTTTCAAGCATGATAAAAGTATTGTTACTCGAATCAAATATCCATGTAATCTTCTCATATGTGAACATTCGAACAATTCGAATTACTTATATACTTATAATGCATGAAATACATTCTATTTTGTAGTGTATTTACGTCATTTTATAATCTGGGATTAAAATGTGTTATCAGACATCCGAGACTATATAAAATGACATCTAGAACTAATTACTTTATTTCGCGGTATGTATCATTTTATTGATACTATAGCACAATCAAAAATGTAGATCGATGAGTGGGTGTGACTGTTTTTTGAGTATTTGAAAAACAAATTAAGAATTGTTTCAAACTCACTTTTTATCGTATATAGTTTACACGAAAGAGCAATATTCCCAAAACGACCTACTTTACATATATAATCGTCATGTTATATCTAACTGAATCAGAATATAAATGTTTGATTGTGTCCTATGCCACAACAACGTTTTTTATCTTTTTTGTAAAGATTTCTCTTCGTAGAAAATGTCATACGGTAATACTATTGCCGAATAAAACAATAGAATGCGTCAAAAGATAATCAATAGGAGTAAAGTTAGCTGCTTCAAGTATCTATATATAAATAGTGATAGTAATATTGATAATAACTCCGACTTAACTGGAGATGAAGATGGAGCTCAAGGGCTACAAATAAGAAACAATTCGTTTCTGACTCTTACTGTTCCTGTTTTGCTGATAGTGCCTTTTTGTATGTCATACAATACGTTTCTAGATGGAGTTATTTAAAATACAATCAAACATCTATATCCTGATTCACTTAGATGTAACATGACGGTTATGTGTGAAGTAAGACATTGTAGGAGTAATACTCTCCCGTGCAAACTATACGCGACAAAAAGTGACTTTGGAAAAATTCATTGACGTTCTCTTTGATACAAAATAGATCTGTCATCAGCATGCATATCTGTTGGTGAAAACTTCAAGTCTATATGTCATTTTGTTCTTGAAATATTCAAGAAGCAGTCACACCCATCCGACCTTTTAGATGAGCTATACTATTGGTAAAAATTATGAACAGGTGACGTAATTTTATTTTGAAGCACTATTCAGTTCTGACGATTATATTGTGATATTAGATGTAAATGATACGTAGTTGATATCTATAGAACAATTTTAGCAAAAGATTAAATTGCTTTCTTTTATGTAATATTAAAATTATTCTAACACAAAGGATTTTTCGTATCGATCTAAACAAATATTAATTCTCATTCTCTATGATTTCATTTAAGACAAAAAAAAAGAAAACGAAAGAAAAATGATTCGAATGTTATAAATACAGATACTAAACAAATGCATTGGTATGCACAAAAAAAGAAAGAAGCGAATAAAACAGACTGTTCGCTAAAAATGATAATTATTTGACTAATTATTAATGTTCATCATCTATATTATTGTTCATTTGATGAAGAACATCATCCATATCAATTCGTTGTAATAACATTTTCTTTCCATTGATAACTGTTGGCAATGTGGTAGTTGTTGTTGTTGTTGTTGTTGTAGTTGTGGATGAATGAAATTTTTCTTGAATCCAAGTAAAAAGTGCACCAACTGAGCTATTACCAGTTAATGATGAATTTGTTGCTAAGGATAAAGCTGCTTGAACAGCAGACGATGATGATACATTAGGTAAAATTTTGGATATAAGTTGTTGACATAATTTATAAAGTAATTGACTATGAGAAGTTTGAGTAATGTTAACTGCATCGATCAAATTATCAGTAATTAGTGATTGATCTGTTGTAATCATAGATGAAGTTGTTATTTCTTCTGAAGTATTCAATAGATTATTATCAGTTGAAAAAGATGAATCAGTGCTTGTTTCGAATGAAGTTGTAGGAATAATATTTGTAGTTAATTCTTCAGATTTATTAGTAGTACTATCGATTTGTTCAGTTGAATTTTGAATTATTTCTGTTGTATACGTAATTGTATTGTTATCACTTGACCAATTAGGAAATGTTGAACTTATCATAGTATCAGATGACTCAGCAATATTAATATATTCTTGATCTTCAGTAATATTGACAGAAGTATTTTGATTTAATGATACTGTTGTCATATCTTCTAAAGTTGTTAAAGGTAACATAGTTGTCGTAGAATCTTCCCCTGAAAATGTTATTATTGGAGACGTCGTATATGTTTCAGGATAGGTTATTGTAATCGTATCATTGTTAGCATAATATTGTTGAGTTGATTCAAATGTTTGTGTGGTAAAATTTTCTGTATACATATCAAACATTGATGTAGCAGTCGTTTTTGGAAAAATTTCCTCGATTTTAATATCTTCAGCTTGTATAACAAGTTCTTCTTCAGTTGTTTCACTTTGAGGATCTATAGAAGTAGTCTGTAATATTGTTGGTATTGTAGTAGGAACAGATGTTGATGATGATGATTCATTATTTTTAGGTAATAAACTCATAATATTAACGTGACCATCATTAGAAAGAACTGCGGATCTACCTTGTGCTTTAGCACGATATGCTTCTTGTAATATATCAAATAGAACTCGTGTATGTACAGGTATAAGTGCTATAAATAATAAAAACGAAAAACAAAATAAATTCAATATTTATTAGTAAATGAAGATGATATCACTGTGTATGTTCACTTACATGACCATACGGAAGCATCATTTTTCGGTACATGTTCTTCACATAATGGACCCATATAGTCAAAATAACATCGACATTCGAACGATGTTAAACCTGTTTCAACACATACACCTCGATTACCACAGGGACTTTCTTGACAAATACCTAATAAACATAAACACGAATACATTATATTATTCTAATTGCTTTTATTTTTACCAAGATGTCTTTCACATAAAGCTCCACTAAAATTAACAGGACATACACAAAGATAAGTATATGCTGATCCAAAGCATGAACCACCATTCAAACATGGCATTGACCAACAAAGATTGCCTTTAATTAAACATACAATCATTAGAAACTTATTCTTTATACTAATGAGAAAGAATTTTTCTTACCAGTAATCCAATTACCATTAACAAAATAGATAATTTTTGCGACTACAATAAGTAGCCATTGAAACGATGTCACATTCATAGTGTTACTTTGAAAACGATGGAACAATTCATTATTATCGTCATTCTTATTGATGATGGGTATATGTCACCATCATCCTGTATTGCTCGACAAGAGACAAAGAAAAAATATATACACGTTCGGATCAAATAACGCGCACTTGTATGAGGTCAACTGATATTATAAGGAATGACTATTCGTGTTTACAATGTGTGTGAACAAGACATACGTGGCTACACTCGACGGGACGGAGGCGGCGCGCATATAAGTGTGTATGACAGCCAGCTCAGATTAGTTTATTTAGGGATCGTGTAATGAGAGGAAAAAGCAATATATATGATCCTTTCTTTATCAGTCTACTCCCATAATGAGAGATAGATATAAAGAAACTGAATTAATTTCAAACAAAAGAAAAGACAATAAAAACAAAGAAAAATGTAGAAATCAATCTTATGATCCTTTTTTTTCTCATCAAAATACAAAACGAATTTTTTCTCATTAAAAAAAAACACTCTTAGTTTTACTATTTTTTTATAATCATTTACATAATATGTATCAGTACAACTACATCTAATGTATCGTTTATAATGATACAACAAATCAAAGCTTGGATAAGCCTGTATTTATAGGCAATCGATGAGATTAATGATGATACTATAAAAATTAAATATATAAATTGTCAACTAAATCTTTAATCTTATTCATTGATTATTTGATAAGCCTTCGTAGTTATGATAATCATATAAAAATAGCTTATATTCTTCTTCTTCAATTATTGTAATGGTAATATTTTAAAATAAAATGCTAAGAAATGTTTGTATTTGTATTATATAAGAAAAAGAAAAGCCAACATATCAGGAGTGCAAAAAGAAAAGTTAAAGATACAAATACGCGAGTAAGCAAGCTGTACATGAACGTGGAATGAGAATAAGGAGAGGAAAAAAAATAGGAAGTACATCGTATCATAAATTTTTTTTTTGTGTAACGTCTATATCTGAGAAAGTATGTATACTAAATAGAACAATCTGATGATATAAATCGATCATATGTTCCACGTTTGATTTAGCTTGATCTTTTTTTATAATAATAATGTTGGTTCATTGATTTCATTGATATTATCTAGTTCAATAGTATCTGGTAGTTCTTGTGTATTATTTTCATCAAATTGATGTAAATTACGACGCCATGTACGTAATTGTCCATCGAAACATCGTCGAGAACATTTACGATATTTATTAGGTGATGTTGGATGGTCACGTCGACGTTGTTTTCTATTTAGAAATGATTAGAAATTCATGCAATAGAAAAAAATATATTCATCATACTTGTTTGGATATTTAGCAATATAAGTTGCATAGGATTCTGACATTTTTCCTTTTAAAATTTCTTTTGTTCGTTGACGTAATGTATGTGGATCACTTTCAACTTCACGTAAGATTTCATCTTCAGTCATATCAGTATATTTAGGAAATGTTTTCAAATGACGAATATAACTAAAAATAAAATAAAATTTTTTCTCTTTTTTTTTTCTTAAAATTCTATAAATCAACGTTTAAAATTATTACTTAAATAAATATTCAAGTTCAATTTCTTCAATTTCAGCAATCATTTTAGGATCATCAGAAAGATAACGTTCCGAAGCACGAGCAATATGTCCTAAAGTACGTTTACGACTAGAATAAAAAACAAAACAAACATTGATTCTTTAATTTATATAAATAATATATTTATTTACCTTGCATCGGCACCAACCATATCAGATTTAGCACGTACAAGTGAACGGCCACTACCAGTTTTTTGTTTTTGATTCATTACACTAACACTTTTACGTAATGTAATACGATCATTGTTATTATTTTGTTGAGAAATATTTTTTGACATTGCTGCATTTTCACACATAGCTGTTTTAAGAGCTGAATCAGCACGAACACTTAATTCAAAGAGTGCATCAATATTTGATCGACCAGTAGTAGTAGTAGTTGATATGTCATTCCTAAAAGATTTATATATAACCTTAGTGTTTTCTTTTACTTTAATTTAAATTATACTCGGCTGGTGTCCAATCAAGAGTTGTTGTTTTAAATGACTTGTCTTTATTAAATCGAGTTTGTTCCAATGATTTATCTTCATTTTCACCACCTTCTAAAATAGGCATTAATTTTATTTGTGATTGATTTATTTGTGATGTTTCATCAAGATTTCGTTCATTGCTAGATTTTTTGATCAAAGAAGTATTTGTTGTTGCTGTTGTTTTCTGTAAATCTCGTAAACTATTCAAAATAAAACTCTACATATGCATTGTATATTTAAAATATAAAGAAGTACGTACTCATCCTTCCATACGGATCCTGTATCATGAGAACTATGAAAAACTTCAGCTGACATAGATCGTGAAGCTAATGTACGACGTAATCTATTGTTAACGTTATTAATACTTGTGATATTATCATGTCTTGTTGGAGATCTAGAGAAGACAAAAAAAGTCTCATAGGAAAATGAACTTTTTGTTAAACGGTAACAAACCTAGCACGATTGAATCCAGAGTAACCACCGGAAGCATATTGTTGTTGCGCAACATTATCAATATGTACTTCCTTAAAGAAAACATTGATTTACACAATTAGATAATAAAGAGAATGTTACTTACTCGAGCTGCTTTAGGTACCCATAAATCTAATGAGAAAAGAATTTTTTGAATCTGTGCATCAAGTGCATAATCAGAACAAAATCCCATCAATTGTTTGATACTGTAAGTCACCATTGTGATAATGTGAAAGGAGTTGAGGCGAAAAATCTATGTACTATCCAAATAGATCGGTTAATATACGTGAAAAGGGAAAACAAAGGATCGAAAAGACCTCTCTTTCTCTACATTCGTTCTTCTATTCAACAAATAATACACAGAGAAAGTGTGACAATAGCGATATCTATGTAGTAATATATTTTGTAGAGGTTTGAATTCTGATTGGTTTATCGAGGTGAACGAGCATGATCGAATGACAGATGAATTATGTAGAAACAAAGGTAGAATCTGTCATTCACAGATGAAGTATTAGTAAATCTTCTCATTTTATATTTCATAGAGAATGATTGACCTATTACCATCACAAGTAGTACGTGCATTTGGTTCCGAAGGTACTTATTCCGATGCCGTATCTACTGTAAATAAATTTAATTCACGTCTTTTACGTGAAAGACGTATTCGTTTACGTTTACCATTTGTTGATTCACAAACACATATTATTCAAACACCGACACAACATTATTTATGGAAACAACCAGTTCAACGTCTTGTATGTACTCGTGATGATCAAGTTGCAACATATGAACGAAAACAATGGCATAAAAAAAGGCCACATCAATCATCATCAATAAGTCAATCTCAGTCAGTAACAAATACGAATGCTATTAATGAACAACAATCTAGTGCATCACCTACTAAAAATGGGAGTGTAAATGGAATGGTATCATCTTCAACTGAAGATGATCCTCGTATTGTTGTACGAGCTGGTGATCTTGGTATGATAATTTTAAAATTGATTACAAGATAAAAAACAGAATATTAATAACTTTTTTTTTTTCTTTATCAGGCATGTCAGATACAGATGTTCAATCGATTGCTACAATTGAAAATCCTGCAATGGTTGGTGGTCGATTTACAGGTGGATCTAGTGATGATTCATCTCAATCATCTGCACCACCAATGACTGGTCTTCATCAACCTCAACAACCACATTGGCCACAACATACAACAACTCATAATCATCATCTTCTTCATTCAAACAATTATATTCTTGATGGTGATGATGATATAGATGAATTTGATTACGATGATTATGGTGGTGGTAGTGGACCAGGTACACCTGGTGGTCCATCATCTCCTGTATCCTCGTTAACAACACGTTCTAAACGTGGTAGTTCTACGAAACGAATATCATCACAAATGGGTACAAGAAAAAGTAGTAAGAAAAACTATCATTACTATATCACTTTTATTGATGATCTCATTTTTTTTCTCTTTAGCTGGTGGAAGTGTACCTGGCAGTGGAAGTACTAACAATACACCTCCTACTGGTAATCGTCGTCAACAATATACACTAGCTGAATTACCATTCGTCTGCGAATTTTGTCCAGCACGATATAAAACAAAACCAGGATTACAGTATCATTTAGCTAAACACAAAGAAGCAAATACAGATTATCGACCATCACCACCAACACCTTCAACTGCTGATAGCTGCGGATCATCATCACCATCAGGAGCTAATGCATCAACAACGCTTATGAAACAAAAATATATGAGTCCACCTATTGATCATCAACAGCAACATCCAATGTATTCTAATCAGTCTGCAATGGGTAGTCCTGGCATACATAATGCTCCTGGTAATAAAAGAATTAATATAAAAATTCAAAATTTTCAAATTGTTTTCGTTTAGTTGGTGGACATTTACCTCCACCTAATGGTATTCCTGGTATGTCAGCACCTCCTTATCAAATCAATCATCATCATCTACAACAACAACAACCACTACCACCATCATATCAAATGCCATCTCATCCACATCATCAATCAATGCCTCCATCTGCTTCAATGCCACTTACTGTAGCTGCTCTATCTGGTTCATCACCTAATACTGGTGCACCATATTATCCACAACAACAACAACAACACCCACACCCTCAAATGATGCATCAACAACATATGATGATGATGCAACAGCAGCAACAACAACAACAACAACAACAACAACATCAGCAGCAATTTCAACAACAGCAACAACATCCACCTAAACAACATGCCCCGGTTGCTGATATGTCATCAGGTATTGCAACTGGTGTTCAATGCGATTTTTGTGGTGGTGATGAACATGAAAATAAAACGACAAAATTACCAGAACAAATGATAACTTGCAAAGTAATTTAAATAATTTATTAAATAAATCATCTTTAATTTTTAATTCTTCAGGATTGTGGTGGTTGTGCACATCCAACTTGTCTTAAATTTACTCCTAATATGGTTCGTCAAGTTAAAACTTATCCATGGCAATGTATGGAATGTAAAACATGTACAGAATGTGGGAATTCTGAAAATGATTCCGAACTTTTATTTTGTGATGATTGTGATCGGTAAATCATATTTCTAAAGATTAGATTTTATTTATTTCTTTATTTTTATTTCAGTGGTTATCATATGTATTGTTGTTCTCCACCATTATCAAAAGCACCTGAAGGTGATTGGCGTTGTAAATTATGTTGTGTTCAATTTGGTGAACTTCAGTCTTGATTTATATATATTATTTGTTATTATTTCTTTTTATAACTGTCTATCTCTGTTTGTGTAATCTCTCAAAAAAAAAAAGTTGTATATCAATCAAAATGATCTTTGTTCGTATTCAATTCTCATTTTTCTTTCGTTGAATAGAATATAAATTAATATTCGTGTTTTGTTCTCATTATACAGTTGTTGTAAAAAAAATAATATAAAACATATTTGTTGTTTTCGTCGATATCTTATTTAAAAGACGATTTTAAAATAAATATGAAAACCAAATGTATAAAATATCTTGCATCTAATAATTATATCATAAACTACAATAAAAAAAGAAAGTAAACATATTTTTAATCAATACATGGTTTACTTGCTTGAAGTTTTAAAGTAAAGATAAAAAATATACCTGGTATATCTTTAGATATTTTATATACACGTGTTCTCGGATACTTATCTTAGATTCAGTTTTATAATCTTATGATATTTCATTCGTTAAAAGACGAGTGACATATAGAGATAGATAAATTGAGTGAGTATCATTTCATTGTCTTTAGTTAGTATTAAATTAATCAAATGCCATCTGATACTGATGAAACAACAATTCTCGTCGAACGAAGTTCAACACCAGCTTATGTAGTATATCCACGTCGATTTTATGTTCTCTTTGTTTTTTCTTTTCTTACTTTTAATCAATGTACTATATGGTTAACATTTTCTCCTATTGCAAGAAAAACAGAAATTTTTTACAATGTAACGGAATCAACTGTTGATCTTCTTCTCAATTGGGGAAATATGGTATTCATTCCATGTTTACCATTAACTTCTATTTTATTGGATAGACCTAATGGATTACGATATTGTGTTATTATATTAGCAATTACTGGTTTTTTAGCAACACTTTCTCGTATTCTTCCATCACTTATTGTATCATCGTCCAATTTAAATTTTACTTCTATTTCATTACCATTTATACATGCTGGTCAAATATTGAATGCTGCTTGTGGTCCTTTAGTTATGGCACCTGTTTCACAACTTTCATCTATTTGGTTTGCTCCACATGAAAGAACACGTGCAACAACAATTGCTGTATTTGCTAATTATCTTGGTGCAGCAGGTGGTTTTATTATTAATCCGTTGGTTGTTGCTGTACCTGAACATGTTCCTCATCTACTTTATATTCATTTTGGTTTAGCATTTGTAGCCTGTGTTCTTACTCTTCTATATTTTCCTGCTCATCCACCAACACCACCTTCAGCTGCTGCTGAATTATTTATGACAATTCCAGCTGATAACGAAAATAGTTCTAATTCACGAACATTTTTCAAAGATATTTGGAAATGTTTAACAACACCTGCATTTTTACTTCTTTCAACAGCTGGTGGTCTTCTCTATGGAGCATTTGGTGCATGGACAAGTCTTTACGATGTTCTTCTGGAACCGGAAAATTATACAGAACAACAAGCAGGTATTTCAAAATAATAATTTGGAACATGAACACCTGCTTAAATGTTGATTATTTTAGGTTGGTTTGGTTTCGCCTCTTTAATGGCGGCAATCGCTGGTGGTCTGTTTTTAGGTTATCTTGCTGATATGCGTCGCTTTCAGCATTCATTAAAAATTCTTACACTTATTTCAATTGTTGGTTGTTTATTGGCTATTATTTGGTTTGAACTTTGTGTTCGTAGTTTATTTTATGATAGACATATACTTTCATCAACACCTTTTACTATTGGATTATCTACTGCATTAGCTGGACTATTTTCAGGTGCTGCATCACCATTAATCTATGAAGCTCTTGCTGAAATCATGTATCCTCTTCCAGAATCAATATCAGCATCAATTCTTGTAGAATGGATAAATACTATTGGACTTATTTTTCTATTCGTTGCACCAAATCGAGCTAAATTAGTTAATTTTCTAGTATTCGTAGTTGTAGTAGTTTGTATCATACTCGTATTATTCACTCGATTTACTTATAAACGACGTGATGAAGATGAAAGAAAACGAATTGAAAAAGAACAAAAACAAATAATAAATCAGAATGTTTTAAATCAACCTGCCATTGGTATTATTAATGAAGAAGAAGAAGAACAACAAAAACATTATGGAACATTTAATTGAAAATATTTATTTATTATATGAAAGAAAATAAAAATGTAAACAATTATATAAATTGTCTTTAGTATGGAAAAATAGTAATAAAATTCTCTTGCTCTGAGTTAGCACAATCATATTTGATTAAATACAAAAAGATTTTATCTCCTTCAGTAAAAACAGATAAACGAATGTTGTTATCAACCGAATATATCTGTATATGTATGAGATGAAGACAATTTTTTCAGGCATTTACTGATTGATTTCACAAAACTCTTTTGAATTTTTCTTTCTATTGTAAATTTAACTTTGAGTATTTATTTATGATCGATAACTAATTAAAAATGCTGATTCAATCTCATTTTATTATAGTGATGTCAAAAATAAACAGTTTAAATATATATTCGTTCTTTTTTTCTTTTATTACGGAAATCTAAAACAAATCTTGTTTTGCTGTTCAACCAAGAAGTGGTCCTCGCCGTGTTGCAGGTGCCCATCGTCGACCAAATAATGGTGCGCCATATCGTCGCTTTTTGAGTACAACTGAATTTTCACCATCATTATTATTCTGACGATACCATTCATTATTGCTGTGATGACTATTATCATCATTTGTTTCTGATACTGATAATAATGAACGACCCATAAGTGGAGCTCGTAGACGTCGGGCACTATTTGATCGACCTATTTGATTATCAGAATGTTGATAAGGTGATCCTAATGATTCCACATGAATTATTTGCTAGAAATAATAAATATAAATAATCAATGAATAGATTTATTACTATTATTTACTTGTAATACAACAAAGCTGAAGAGAAAGAGTGGTAGAGCAAGATGCATGACGCTTATTATTGTGAGGGTTTTTTTTTATTTGCTACAAAACTAAAATAGAAAGAACTATTTAACAAAATATTATGTTTTATTATATATATATATTTGTGTAAATAAAACTTTTTCTAAGAAAAAAAAACCGAGTACGTCACTATTGCAAAGTAAATAAGAAAATGTCCAGAAAATATATATTTATTACGAATGTCTCTTTTCAAATCACTTGTCATTTTATTCATATATATAAAGGAAAACAGTGAACAGAAACCTATTTTTTAGAATTTTAATAGAAAAAATAATTATCTAGACTCTTGTATAAAATATGAATGATGATATTTATGTCAAAAGAATAAAATATAATTAGTTTTCGATCACTAGGGAATTCAATTATAATTGAAATAAACAGATACATTTAACATAAATCAGTCAACAGAAGTAAAAGTCTAAAATGAATTAAAATCTTCTCGAGGTCTTTTTTTAATTTACAAATATAAAGATCATGATCATTGAAATCGTTGTAATTATTATTTGTTGTGTAGAATCCTAAAGTGTTTTTTATTGTCTTTTACTGATTAATCGCTAAAAGAACCAAGCAGCTTATAAAACACATCACGATTAAATGAAATGAATAGTAGTTCCTGTATATATTTTTACTAAGAATTGTACTTGATTATTTCCGAGCAAAAGTACGTCATTAATGTTAGCGCTGTCTATAATCTATTTTAATACAAGGTAAAGAATATGTTTTTATATAGGGTAAACTTGTTGTCTTATTCAAAAAATAAAACTTTTTTTTCTATAAAAAGTGTCCCTATATACCGTAGTCAGTCTTTTTTTAGAATACACTATAAAATATACACAGGGGTGGCACTTTATCTTTATTTTGCTTTAAAAAAATAAACTAACTCAACTTGACTGTAACTCGGTAAAATTAAATTAGATACTAGTATTATTTAGGCTGTTAATATTAAAATAAAAATGATTTCGATCGTCAAATTATTAGTCTAGGAGAATAATAAATTTGTTACTGTTTCATCTAAAAGATTTCTCTTACCTTATCGATGACTAATAGCGTTACAATAAATTCATTTTTAACTATTGTTATCATGTGAAACTATACTATAGTATATTTGAAAATATATACTATCTTTCTTTTCTTATTCTGTTATATGTACATTCCTCCTCCTCCTCTTCTTTCTTTAACTTGTATTCATTCGGGTTAAATAATCATTTTTATTGTAACATTTTAACTTGTTATTCTCTGCATATATGAAACATTTTATTGATATTATAATAATAGATAATTTTATTATTAATATTCCGATTTATTATAAAAATATAACAAATAATGACGTCTTATAGTTATTTTTTCTTTTGTAATTCAATAAGAATTTATCTTCATCCATTCTTTTATAAAGAATATGCAGTACACGTCGACCGTAGAATAGTCTATATGTAAACAAAGAAAGATTCGTATGATCATGCTGTACTCGACACGATCTATATAGATATAAGAAGTCGAATGATTAACATTGTAAAACTGATCCATATTGGTTTGAACCATTAATTAATAGTCATATCAAGATACACGAATATATAAATATTGTGTATAGAAATTTTCTATCAAATAAAACAGTTTTTGTTCTTGATTATTAAAGCAAATTCTGCACTTAATTATGATCATTGCACTTTTCATGTTTTTATATTCAGAAAATGACCTAAACTGTCATTATTCCCATCAAAGTTTATCACAATACTGATTTAATGAATATAATATGTATCAAAAAAAGTACTGTTATGTTTTTTCAATAGAAATACAAGAAGTTTAAACAGTTGCTGTTATTGTGAAATACAATCTCTTGTTTTTTTTATCAGTTTATTATATACAAGCTGAAAAACATATAACTATTCTTTTCAATATTTTCTTTGATAATATAAACAATTTCTAAAGTTATAATGGATGATATAAATGAAGAGAATGATGAAGTTAAAGAAGAAATTATACCACAACAACGAACGAATCCTCGACGTCAACGTCAACAATTACGTTTTTCAGAAGAAGTAGTAGAAGAAAATGAAGAAAAACCTTCATCAACTTTTAAACCTCCTGGGCGAGCGAGTCGTTTTTTATCAATCGCTCAACCATCACTTCAATTACCAGGTGTCAGTCTTCTTCGATTACGACAATTACATAACAAAAGTATACATAATAGAGATTCATTTAGTTCAGAAGAAATAACCGATGAACAACTTGATAAAATTCCATTTAAGTATGAAATAAAACACAAAAAAAAACATAATTAATTTTTTTTAATTAGAATTGAAATTATTCCTGATCGACGTGATGATCTTGATATCATAGAAAGTCGTCCGAAAAATAAATCAGCTGTAGAAACATCTACTGTTATACCCAGTATTTTAACAGACCAACGTCGTTTAGAAATAATTGAAGAAATTCTCAAAAAATTAAGTCATACTAACGTACTTGATGAATTTCGTCGAGCAAATGTCATACCGTATAAACTCCCTAAGTAATGCAAACTCTTATTTTATTAAATTATATGTTCATTTGTTTTGTAAGAAATAATCAGATGCAAAAAAATGTTGCTCGACATATAGAAGAATTAACTGGAAGTGATATAGTTATGTTTAATGATCATATTTATATGAAACATTTATGTAAACATCTTGAAGAAAAACGTAAAGTAATATATTCATGTTTTTGTTTTCTTCTTTTGTAAAGTTTAATTTTTTTCAGAAAGAACTTGAAGCAAATTTTGAACGGCTTGCATTCAATGAAAAACGTCGACAATTATCTCAAAAAATTTAAATAATCTATTGATCTCGTTTCAATAAAATTAATCATCTATTGATATATATAAAGACAGCAAGAGATAAAATAATTTGATTAAAACAGGAAAATATTTGCATTATGTAAATATGTTGATTGACAGAAATAAAATTAGATAATACATCTATCTTTTTCTATCATCAATTGAATATCTCTTGAATCTATAATAATATAATCTATCAACACATAATATTGAATTATGCAAGATCTTATTATTTTATAAAAATTTCTATTATGACAAATTTTGTTTTTCGTCCTTTTGGATATTAGTTTATTAAGCTAAAAGAAAATAAATTCGATTACCTAACTCAAGGTATTTAACGTATTTTTTTGTTGTTTGAAATATATGTAATACATATATCAACATTGTATTTCAAGGTAAAAATATTAAAATGAAATTGGATCTATGTCAGATAGAAATGTATTGCAAAAGAGGTATAAAATCGTATTTTTTTTGTTGAATGAAAGTATTTCGTTTGAATTATAAAATTTATAAGATGCAACGTATACTTTTATTGATATGCATGATTTGCACAATTGTGAGAATTTCATTAGCAGGTTAAAATATATAAATAAATTCGAATTTATTTTATAATATATATTATTTCTATAGTTACATGTGATACAAATCCTTGTCAATTAGCAGGTGATTTTTTACCACCTAATTATCAATGTCTTCAAGCAACAGATAATATAAATAATGTTGTTTGTACATGTCCTGATGGTTATTCGCAAATAAATACGCGTTGTCGTAAGATAGTCTATCGAAATTGTTTATATTCTAATGATTAATTATAGGTATTTGTGATACAATTAATTGTGGTTCTAATGGTGTTTGTATTGAAAGATCATTTTTTGAAAATTTATATTATGCTTGTGGATGTACTAATGCTACACATAATTTTCTTCATCCAGGACCATGTCCTAGTAAGTAAGATAGATGACTATTTAAATAAGCTCATATCAGAGACAATAAATGATAAGTAATAAATAATAATTGATGAATATCTATAAACACAGATGCTAATCCAATAACAACAACAATCTCTCCGATTGGTATTTGTCTTAACGGCGGTAAGTAAAAGAGCACAGCTTTTTTTATATCATAACCATACTTTTATTTGATATAATTAGGCGTCTACAATAGTATAACAGGTACATGTATTTGTGCAAGTGGTTTTACAGGCACTTTATGTGAAATGACTGCTGGTAAGAAGTAGAGTAGTTGTTGTATTTATCTTAGAAATAAATGTTATAGGACAGACAACTTGTCAAAATGTAGTATGTGCTAATGGTGGTGTTTGTAATCCAATACCTTCAACTGAAAACGGAGTCGAGATGCAATGTTTATGTTTAAATGGTATTAAAATTTTGAGTATAAAAACAAATTAAATATATTTTCTTTTCTGAATAGGTTTTGCTGGTGCAAATTGTGAATTAATCGGTAAAAAATAGATTTTTTTTTATAAAGAATTAGAAAATGAGTTATTAATTAATTATTAACAGTTCATTCGTTATTCTTTTTTGAAAAAAAAGCGGGTTATATCTTTTGATATGAAATCAAAGCAAAATTTTCTTGACATGGAAACATCAAAGAGTCCTCAGCTTGTTGTCAGAATTTCTATATTAACTCAATAATGGACTAAAACGTTGATATTTTCGAAGACATAATAAGTTCAATTTATCTTCATCGGGTTAGATCATTTAATTTTGTTTTGCTGTATATAATAAGTACAACTGTGTCATTAGAATGTCTATGATAAGAAAGACTATCCTTTTGGGTAATATGATTTTTCTATTGTATAAAAAAATAATAATTAGGATTATTAGACGTATTTCCCTATGCGCATCATTTTATTCTATATCTTATTCGACAAAATAAAACCAAGAGAGATGAAATATTATATAATTCATTTATATCTGACTTTTGTCATCATCTTTAAAGCATATGAGACAGATCAGGATGAATAAAAATGCAATTTTGAGCTAATTTTCAATGAAAGATATGACAATAAGACATCATTGGGTAAAAAGAACGACAGAATAAAATCCACAAAGAATAATTTTCTTCATCAAGTATGAGTGCATTGCTGAAAGTACGTTTATTTTTCTCGATACATTTGACTAGTCTTTCTGAATAGTGAGTTAGAAGAGTATATCGAATCAAAATTTTAACGTAAATATAAAAGAAATATATTTTATACTTCTTAAAAGATTGAAAAGGAATTTAGATTATCTTAGAATTAATTTCATCTTCTAGTTCATTCGTAAGGAGGATTTTAGATAAAGCTTTCGATTTGAATCAAGCATTACGAAGATTTTACAAAGTATAGAGATTAACTCACTTCTTTTATTAGAAAAAGACTTACTGTCCCACAATTTCATGCGAAAATTGATTATAAAGATGCATTTCTTATGTATCTAAAAATTATCTAGATTCGTTAACTATTATAATTTAAGTTATATATCGATAGATTAGATCCTATTTTGTATTTTTTATATCTGATTGTTCGGATGATGTACAAAAATACTATGTCTGTTATGTTTGGTTATTATTCGCATGAAGACTATAGATAACAAAAGAGAATAATATTTTTCATCACAGATGTTCTGATGACACAATTGTATTCTTTATATGAAACAAAACATAACTAGATACTTTGTCTAATGAAGATAAATTGAATTTATAGTACTTCAAAAAATGTCTATATTTTAGTCAATTATTAGATGAATAAAAAAGTTCCGATAATAAATCAAAGACTCTATAGAATCTCTTTGATGGTGGTTGAATGTTTTTGTTTTAGAAAGATCATCAATATTGTAAAGTGTTAGTTGTGTGTAGTATCATAAAGTGTGTCTTGCTTTTTTTTTCATCAAAACTATGACATTATTGTTAATGAATAATTAGTAGACCATTTCCTAATACTTAGATTCTTTCGTTCTTTGCTAAAAACCAATTATATCTATTTAGGTACTCCTGGTAGATGTACATCTGGTTTATGTCAAAATGGTGGCATTTGTGAAGAAAGATTAATTGGGTCAGCAGTTTATGCTTATTGTCGATGTCCACCGGGTATAACCGGTCAATGTTGTCAAACACGTAAATGATTAATGACAAATAAAGTTTATAAAAGCAAAAAAAAGACGAAAATCCTTTTTATCGTTTTAGCATATTTTACATGTCCTATGGCTGGTGTATATGCTGATCCAATAAATTGTAAATTTGGTGGATATTTTCAATGTGTTGGTTATGCTCTTACAAAACAATCATGCCCAAAAGGTCTTCGATATAATTTTATGACGATGCGTTGTGATGTGGCTGTTTCTTGTCCACCATAAAGAACGATGAAAAACTAATACAATAACATTTATAAAAGAGGCAAAAAAGAAAATTATCTTTATGAAGTTTTTTTGTCAAAATAAACAATGAAAATTAATTGAAGAAATATTGAAAGAATATTCAACATGAATAATCGATTTTTGATTGAGCGGAAATCTTTGAGACTCTTTTCTTATTTTGTATGAAAATATACATGATTGAATTATGGATAAGTACTATTTATTATACACGGTCATTTTCTTGTATATATGTCCTTGTTGCTAATGCAATAAGAAGGAAAAGAAGAAGACAAGAAATCCGATTCATTCGATATAGCAGCATGACCTAAGCAAAAGATATGATATCATACTATCTTCGTCTTCTTTTAGCTTTTACTGCTCCATTTCTATTTTTTCTGCTGTTAGTAGTATAGTTAGAGCAATAGTTGTTCTTTCTGTCTCCCTCTCTCTCTCTCTCCCTCTCTTTCTATCTGTCTCCACTTTGTGCATTGAAGGAGAAAAGACCGGTGTCGAGTTGTTGTTGTTGTTTCTGATGTTACTGCTATAGTTTCCCCATTATATAAATATGTTAATCAGGCGCGGGTGGAGAGAAAAGAGGTTAGTCTTAAGCATTGCTAGTGGTTGCCAATAGCTTTATGATTCTAGGAAACGATGCCTATGTATTCTTTCTAAACGAAGAGGGGGAGGTCTCTTTTCATATTCTTCTATTTCTTTGTACGTCTTTCATTTACTCTAAGTATGGTTCTTTTCACGATGCTTTTAGATTAGAGACAGCTGACAATAATATACAAGCTGCTATAAAAAAATTGTCTGATATTCAATCAATGCTCATAGGTTTGTCATATTTATAATTTTTTATGTTATATTTTGTTGATTGAAAACAAAATGAAAATTAATAGGAAATTTTGATAGATTTATAAACAAAAAAAAATCCCCATATTTTTCTTGTAAAACAATTTTTGACAAAAAATCAGAATAACATTAATAGATTTTCTCTTTTATATATTTTTTTTCGCAGAAATAAACAAGCAAAAATCTCTTTTCTTAACTATGATTTTTTTTTGTTTATATTGTATATATCACAATATTCTATTTTTCTGTTTTGCTTATTTAGTAAATGAGGTTTTAATATTCATCAATGGAGACAAATAACAGTAATACATCGTTAGGTACTACTAGTTTAGCTGGTTCATGTTCAGGAGAACGTTATTGGTTTGCATTTTTATTCTCAAGCATTGCAACATTTGTTATCGGTGTATTTGCTATTCTTCTTTGGCGTTGTGGTGCTTTAATTTATAAACGTGGACCAACAATAAGACATCGATCAGGAAGATTAGTATCAAATTCGGATAAACAAGATACATCGTATTCATTTGATCCGATGCATGAACGTAATTGGGCAACAATTATTAAAGAATATGCAGCAAAATTAATATCAGGACAACAAACACCAGGAAAAATTCTCGTATTTATTATTACTAAAATAAACAAAATAATTCATTTATCATTATAAATGTATTGTAGGTAATTGCTGTTGTCGTCTTGAGTTTAGCATCATTAGTGATTTATTTCTATGATGTTAGCACACAGTAAGAAATAATTAATTCATAAAGAAAATATTTATTTAATTTATATTATTTTTTATCTCTCTTTCTCTAAAGACCTATTGAATCATGTCAATTATGGACAGAAAGTCCAATGCAACAAGTTGATTTAGCCTTTAATATATTTTTTCTGTTCTATTTTTTTCTTCGAGTAAGATATTTTTGTGAATAAATAATTAATAAAATATTTTTGTATATGTACTTTTTTTTGTAGTTTGTTGCTGCACAAGATAAACTTCGATTTTGGTGTTTGGATATTCATTCATGGGTTGATTTTTTTACCATTCCACCATCGTTCACTGCTATTGTTCTTGGACGAAATTGGATTGGTATGCATATTTATATATACGATATTTCAAAAGTTTTGATCACTTTAGAAAATCATTTATTTCTTGTATAGTAAGTGTTTTTTCATATTGATAAACACTATTCAAAAATATTATCTTTGACAACAATAAGAAAAGTTCAATGTTTTAGTTTTGGATTATTCTATTGTTGAAATGACTGGATAGAAATCTAGAAATCGAAGAGTACATGATATTAATACATCCCTTTAGTCTATCTCTGAATTATTAAAGATGTCATTAAGTTCCATAAGGGCCTACCTTAGAGAAATGTGCAGATGCTACATCTGTCAAGATAACAAGTATCATCTATTGTTAGCTCCATAGATGAAGCTACTCTATCAAAGAAAATCTATACTTGGCTTTATGACGTCTTCAATAAATAAAAGGCGGATTGACGAGATGTATCAATACCATAAACTCTTCGATTTCTAGATTTTTGTCCAGTTATTTCAACAATTGAATAATCCAAAAAATCAAATTAATTGTTTTTTGTCTGATGTATTTTTGAGTAATGATTATAAAGCTGATCAATCTGAAAAAACACTTACTATTTTCCTCTATACAAGAAATAAATGATTTTCTAAAATGATCATGACCTTTGAGATAATCTGTAGAAAAAGACATTTATCATATATTAATGAATGATTTATTATTCTAGGAATGCGATTTTTTCGTATTGCACGCATATTGAATATTCCTGATATACTTCAATTTTTACACATACTTCGTAGTAGTAATACTATTCGTTTAACACGTATGTTGTGTTTACTATTTACGGTTTGGTTATCAGCAGCAGGATTTGTTCACTTGGTAAATTTATTGTTGTTTTCTAAACAAAAAAAAATATATAAAGAATATTTATATGAAGGTCGAAAATTCGGGCGATTTCTTTCAAAATTATTCAAATTCACAACCAATCACTTATTTTCAATGTGTCTATTTTTTAATCGTCACAATGAGGTAAGAAAATGAGAGAAAAATCGAGATTTAGTAAGAATATACAAGAAAGAAAAAACTTATCGCTTCAGTTAACTTCTCATATTTACGATCTTCCAGGTCTTTGCATCCTACGTCTGATTGCTTTGCTAATATATTCAAAAATTTCTGCATCATCGAAATCAGATGTCTCCTTAGAGAAAATAAGGAATTGTATATTAATAGATAAAACCTAGATAATAAATCTGTTATTTTATATTTTTAATGGAAACCTTAGTTATTTTGAGAATATTCTATGTTTTCATATAATCAAAGAAAGTTTCGGAAATAATAACCATATTCTCTATGAATTCAAAGTTTAACATTTCATTTAACGAAAAAACTATTATTATTTGTGATTAAATTGCAATTAGTGTTTAACTACTACGGATATACAATGTAGTACATAAGAAATAAGTAGTAATCCATAGAGAGAAGCTAAAAGCAAAATATTGCGCATATGTTCGTAATAGGAAAATTATCCTATCGATGAGAACTACAATAAAGTGCTCGCTATTTACATAAGAATGAGGTATTACTAATAAAACTCGTGTTTTATTTCAAATATGAAAATAATCATAACAAGGCATGTACAAGTAAAGATTAGAACATATTAAGACAACATTCTTATTATAATCATATTTTCATTTATTTATATAATATATTAATTATCTCGAATTGTCTGCATAGTATCAATTTTAATACAAAAAATTCTTTTATGTATATTTTTTTTTCTTCTTATTTTTTTAGCACAGTTGGTTACGGCGATTACCATCTGAGAACAGTTCGTAGTAGTTAGTACAAGACGAATGCTTGCGTGTGTGTGAATGTGATTGTCAATATCATTATAATTTCCTTTTAGATATCTTCAACAATCCATGTATAGTTTGTATATTTATTTTCTATAGACGATCGGACAATGTTTTATAATATTCTTTATAACTGGCGGTCTTGCACTTTTTGCTCGAGCTATTCCGGAATTAGCAGAGATGTTATCAAATAAGAAGAAATATGCTGGACAATATCGATTAGAAAATGGAAAAAAGTAGGAACATTTATATTCCAATATGAATATAAGCATTTGTTTTTCAATAGATTTGTTCTTGTTTGTGGTCATATTACATTTACATCAATGGAAAATTTTCTGAAAGATTTTTTACATGAAGATCGAGTTAGTTCAGATAGTTTTTATGATGCTGATGTACTCATTGTTGATAAGTATGTTGAAAACAAAAAGAATTTTATTTATCATATATATTTATTTCTATATAGAAAACATTCAGTTGATTTTGAATTTCAAGCATTACTTAAACGTCATTTTACACGTGTAAGATATTTTGATGCTACTGTTATGGATCCGGTTGATTTAGAACGAGTTAAAGTAATAGATAATTTTTAATATTAATAATTTCAAAGAAAAATGTTTCTTTTTTCATTTAGTTAAAAAGAACTGAAGCTGTTTTAATCCTAGCAAATAAAGATGCAATTGATCCTGATGGTGAAGATGCAAGTAATATAATGCGTGTAATTAGTATTAAAAATTATCATTCAGAAACGAAAATTATTGTTCAACTTTTACAATATCATAATAAAGTAAAGATAAGAAATTATATAGTATTATTATTATTCGATTCATTTTTATAGATGCATTTAATGAATATTCCAGCATGGAATAATAATACAGATGAAGCTGTTTGTATTGCTGGTAGGAAATACTAAAAAGAGATACATGTTTATTAATTTATTTTTATTATAGAATTAAAATTAGGTTTAATTGCTGAAAGTTGTCTTAATCCTGGTTTTTCAACAATGATTGCTAATATATTTGCAATGCGTTCAGATTCAGAAGTAAGTGAATTTAAGTTCAATATCAAATAAATTTCAAATTATTATTTTTTAGGTCGCTGGAAAATTAACTGAAAAGGTAAATTTCATAGTTTATATGGGAAAAAAGAATATGTTTGTTTTTGAAATATAGGGTACACCTGATCGATCTGTTTGGTTACAACAATATCTTCGTGGTGCTTCACTTGAAATGTATACGGAAACATTATCAAATTATTTTGTACATGATTTAAAAAATTTCAGTGAAGCTGCTAGGTTAGAAAAAAGATTATAATTTTAAATAGAAAACTAGTGATGTTTTTTTTCGTATTAATATTTATAGATTTTGTTTGGTTGAACTTGATATATTATTATTTGCTATTGAAGTTTGTGAAGAAAATGGACAAAGAAGATTAGCTATTAATCCTGATCGAACATCAAAATATTTTCGAATTGCTAAACGAACGAGAGGATTCTTTTTAGCTGGAAGTTCAGAAGAAGCATCGAGGTAATTCTTTTTAAATATTTATGACACTATCGAGACCAGATCGTATGATAAAGTCTCAGACTGTTATGTTATATATATATCAACTATTGTAGTTATTATGTATGAGGAACTGAACCAGAAAATAAACTCCGCTCTAGGTCGATCTATTGATTAAGGACAAAACTAATAGTAGTTGGAAGAACAAACTATTCTTCTTCTAATGACAGTGCTAATAGTACTGAGATTAATGAAATGAAGATATAAATGCTTGAAATTTTCATTTTGTTTCTATATAGAGCTCGATATTATTGTCGTCATTGTCATCACAAAGAAAAACCTGAATTTGTTCATAAATGTATTCACTATCGTATTGAAGGTAAATCATATTTTCTTCTTTGGTTTCTATTAATTTTATTCTATATATCCAATAGATTCATCAAACAGCAGCAAAACACGTAAGTTATCAAAGAATTAATCTTTCGTTTCTTACAATTTATTTTTTATTTAGGACGTGAAATGTCAAGACCACGTTCTGAAAGTTCTGCAGCGTAAATTGATAAATTTAAATAATCTTTATAAAATATGTTTTTATTTAGTATTCATGCTATACCAATAACTCATCAAGCACCAAAACCATTTTGTTTCGATACAACAGGAATGTTTTATTGGTGTTCAACACAAACATTAGAACAACAAACAATTGTAAAGTCTATTTTCTTTTTGTCTTTATTTAAATAAAATACGAAATTCTGTAGGATATTCGAGTTAAATGTGAATTATCACATCATGTTATATGTTGTATATTTGCTGAAGAATCATCACCTGTTATTGGTTTACGTAGTTTTGTTATGCCATTACGTGCATCAAATTTTGATGAAAATGAACTTAAACCAATTGTATTTATTGGTAATTGTGTTTTCCTTAAAAAAGAATGGAGACATATATGTAATTTTCCAAAAGTTTATCTTGTTGATGTAAGTTATACATTTCTTTTTTTTTCATCTATTTCTTATTTTATCGAATTAAGGGTTCACCAAATGATCGTGCTACATTACGAGCTGTTAATATACATTTATGTGATATGTGTGTTATATTATCATCATCAGCATCACATCATGATCAACGTCAAGATCGATATTTAACTGATAAAGCAGCAATACTTTGTTCATTAAATATCAAAGCAATGAGTTTTGATACAGAATGTACAACATCAGATAGACGTTTTGGGACATCAATTCCACTTATAACAGAACTTAGTGAGTTGAAATATGTTAGTTTTCCGAAAATAAAAATAATCATATTTTAGAAAATGATACAAATGTTGTCTTTCTTGATCAAGATGATGATGATGATCCAAGTATTGATCTATATATGACACAACCATTTGCATGTGGTACATCATTTGCTATTAGTGTTTTGGATTCATTGATGAGTGCAACATATTTCAATGAAAATGCTTTAACTATTCTTCGAGGTAAAATTTCGAGATTTTTGTTTTTATATATATCAAATTTCGTTTATTTCAGCATTGATAACCGGTGGTGCAACACCTGAATTAGAAAAAATCCTAGCAGAAGGTGCTGGAATGACACAAGGTTCAAGTTCAAAAGAAGTATTAAATAATCGAAGACGACCACGAGTTGTTTTATTACCTGTAGAAAATATAATAATCGAAGAAATAAATAATACGAAACAAAATTCATCAATAATTATGAATACATTTTGGGATGATGTTAGTTTTTATTTATTTGAATTTATTTAAAACTAAGATTGTATTTTGTTTAGAATCCAACCTATGGGGATTTATTTGTTAATTTATTAATTCATCGAGATTGGCTTTGTCTTGGTCTTTATCGTCTTCGTGATCATGGTGATACGGAAACAATTCCTCAATCGACTAAACGTGTTGTTATATGCAGTCCACCACGAACATTACCTTTATATAAGACTGATCTAGTAATAACAAAATTAATTTCATTCTTTTTTATTCTAAATATTATCGTTTTTTCATAGGTTTATGTGATACAACAATTTCAACCAAAATATAATCCGCCGTTAACTATACCACCAGAATCAATAAAATCGAATGACAATACTATTCAATCAGATCTTGTACCGGAAGCAGTTAATTCAATGGTACAAATGCCATATACAGTAGTTACTAGAATGACTCCGACAATGATGCATGACATTAATATAAATAATAAGGATAAAACTTAATTGCTTTTTTTTTTGTTGTTTTTTATAAAAAATAAAGATAAATTTGCTCAGAAAAATGATTGTTCTTTTATTTTACTGTACTTTCATAAATGCGTCTATTGAAGAAAAAATAAAGGTGGTTAATGGTACGTTACGGGAAAAGTATAGGTGTCATCATGATTGAATTAATGAGTGAGAACCGCCCTGTTTTTCTCTCATTTATTCTCTTGTTAAAGATGCTGGTCGTGGACGATCAAACAAGCACAGTAGAAAGCAATCAAGCACAACCATCATTGACTTTCGCTTTCCTATTTAAGTGTCTAATCGAGACTGATGATGATCATGAAATGAGTTTTCATGTGTATTGCACGGCAAAAGTCAACCCGATTTCCGGCACACGCTATGTATGTTTCGACTATCTTCAGTGCAATTTCCGACGCACGCTCTTTTTTTCTATTTTTGACATATTTTGCAGGTGAATATACATTCTCCATATCATTTTATTCGATATACTTCATTTGACAGTATATAGATATATATATTTTCGTGATACAAAAAAAATATGAATCATTAAAAAAATAGCGGTAGTCATTTCATGACATAGTTTTATCAATGACAGTCTCAACAATGACAAATCATTATCGGTGGTCTTTCGTCTTTCTTTTTCTTCTTTAATATGACAAAGAAAAAAGTAACAGTAGTGGTCAACAGAGTGAGACGACGTTTGAAGAAACATATGCGGCTGGTGCTGATTGTTGCGCCAGTGAACCGACACGAAGAGCAATATTTCACTTCACACACATATACTTACATATATATATATATACAGAGAAAAAGAAAACTATTAAAGAAAACGAAGTACAATCTCGACCGATCGGACATCTGGTGCGATGTGGTAATCACAGACTTGTAGACAACATAAACTCCGATTGGTTGTTGTTATATCATGAAGATAAGCAGAATAGTATTTCAAATATTACTGTACAATAATATTAAGACACAATCATCTTTTGTTTCTATTTTTTCATTGCAAATATCAAAACAATTTTTTGTGAATTATATACGACACTTATTTCCTTTCTTCATAAATCCATTTTAGAATTCAAGTTTTGAAATAAGCAAATAAATTCAGTGTTTTAACACATTATCAGAATCAATGTCTGGGAATGACGCTTGTTTAAAATGGTTCAACGCCTTACTATCTCTTTTCTACTACTTTGATTTGTTAAAATAATATTTCATTTTTGCACTATCAATGTGTGAGAAGAGCGTGTCGTGTGAGTTGCAACTATCCTACTTATTTCTCTCTCTCTCTCTCACTCTTTTCTTTTCCTCACTATTTTTTCTTTTATCCAATAAAAAATGAATGCGATAAACCAATGAAAATATTTTCTTCTCATTTTCTTTTTTTCGGCTGTAAAAAAAATCACACAGTAGGAGAACATTATTTTCTTCCATCTATCAAATCAAGTGACATCATCACTGAAAAGCATCAAAACTAAAGATGAAAAGTAAACTGTACGTACCGGGCGTCGGTGAGTATATACAATCTTACATCATAATTGAATCATTGAAAACTAATTGTAATGTATATATAGGTCAAGCTGGAGTTAATCAACTTGGTGGAGTTTTTGTTAATGGTCGTCCATTACCTGATCATGTTCGTCGGCAAATTGTTGAATTAGCATTAGTTGGTATACGTCCATGTGATATATCAAGAAAATTACTTGTTTCACATGGATGTGTTTCGAAAATTTTAACAAGATTTTATGAAACAGGTTCAATTCGACCAGGATCGATTAATGGTGGAAATGGTCGGCATTCAAAAGTAAGATTTCGAAGACTATAGAATGTACTAAACTATAATCTATTTATCCGTTTTTAGAAAACATATAGTACTCGTATTGAAATGAATAAATGCCAGGTTTGTAGATATTCTATGAGAAGTATTCGAGATTTTCATCTCCTTTTCTTTTACAAAAAAAAAATAGAATGTTGGTGTTTCTCCTCCATCATCATCATCATCAAATAAAATAGTTGATAATGAAGAATCATCATCAGTTCGGTAAGTTTTTAATGGAAAGTTTTTGTTTAAGAAAAAATCAATTCATTATTTATTAAAGAAACTATCATTCATTTCCAACAAGTCCTGATCATCTTCCATCAAATTCCTATTCAACATCTCGATATTTTTCATTTCATCATCATAGTCAATTTTTCTTCCAACATCAACCACCACCCAATCCATCCTCGGATGAGATTGATGCATCTGATGATGCATCTGATGATGATGAGGATCAAGATGATGAAGATGAAGATAATAATTCAATCATATCAGTAGACACCAAACCAAGTACATCATCATCATCACTTATAAAACATTCAATTGAAAATATTTTATCAAATAAAGTCACAATAAAAACTAAACGACCATTATCATCATCATCAAATTGTATGTTAACTTGCAAAATAAATTTCCCATATTTTTTCATTTATTTTTTAGCATCAAATAATGAACAACCAAATAATAAACGACAAAAATCTATTGCATGTTAATATGAACATATTTCATTTTCTCTTCTGTTTCTTTTTTTTTGTTCCGTTGTTCTCTATAACATACATTTTCTTTTGCGTTTGGAAAACAGTATATAGAATAAAAATTGGAAACAAGCATATCTATGTATATTCTCTTGTTTTTATGCAATTTCGATATATTATAACAAGAGAAAAAAATAATGGTCAATTAACATTATTAGTGTAGTTTTCTTTCCCCTATCTCGTCTCATGCAAATGACAAATAACATTGTAGGGGTGGAGTGCTCTCCAATTAAGGTATGCCTTAGTGTGAGTGGCACCTGAGTATGTATATATATATATGTGTCGATGTTGATCGCAATCAGTGCTCTGATGACGTGATGGTGAGGCAACTAACTGCTTGAGACAATTAGACGAAGTATGGAATATTGGGAAAGACCCCTTGCTGATCAAGTGTCAACGGAGATAGACATGCACGACATAGTCACCTTGCGTTTCTTTTTCTATACTTCTTTTATTATCAGATTGATCGGTGATGATTATACTGAATTAATGTTAGATTAACTGTTGACTTCATCGCATCAATATCTGATGCTGAAGAAAATTGTGAACTTTTCGAGTTATATATTAAAATGATTGGATAGCTTATATTCATAAATTATGGTAACACAGTATATTGCAGCAAAATGAAAATGTCTGATTTGTTAGTCGGTCATCTTTTAAATTGACATTATTATTCGATGAAAATATGCAAATATTATTCCAACTGTAAGACTTCATCGTATATTTATGAATACAAAAGTCAATGTTATAACTTAGAAATGAGTTCTTTAAGTCTAAGTTCGAAATTTTTGGATATGATATATTCTTTAGAAAGATTACTGTCAAAATAACCTAGGAAAATATGTCAAATACGCTATCATCAATACAAGTAAGTGACAAGAAAAATGATTGAGTCTAAAGAGAATAACAAATATAGGTAGAATAATATGTCAACAAAAGTTTTAAATGTATAATTCGTATTGTTTATCTCGAATGATTTATATTTTCTTCCGTAGATATCGAAATAGATCACTACTTTTATCACCAGTTATTTAGTTTCGTATCTGAATCTTGTTGATTACAGAAGAGAAATATTAAATAAATAAATAAAATATATTTCCTTTGTTTTTTTTCCTCATTGAAAATGAAAAAAAAAGAAACTTCCTCAATAAAGATAGAAATGAGTATGTGTATACAAGAAAAGAAAAAGGCATTATGTGAAGTCCTATAAAAGAAAAAAAAAGTACAGAATAAAGAAAAAAAAAGATTTGATGATAGTAATAGTAATAATAGTAATAGTAGTAATAATAATAATATGTCTTTTTTTTTGTGAAGAAAACAAATGATATCACCAATTAATTTCTTTATATGAAAGACAATGATAGACACTACTAAAATATGAATAGAAGAAGAAAAAATAAAGAATTAGTTTAAATTCAACAAATATTATATTACTATTCTTCATGCGGTAATTAGACCGCGCGGATGAGAAAATGATACAGATGTTGTTGAACTTTTTTCCGGTGCTGCCATTGTATAAGTACGACGGATGCCCATAACTTTATCCGAATCAATAAATAAGGAATTATTTTTAATAGCTAAATCTTGTTCTAATGTTGATTTTGCGCGTAATAAATGTTGTACAGCATTTTCTTCTTGACGTAATTTACCATGAAGATCAGCAATAGCTGCATGGCAATCATGAACTTCTTGAATTAATCTAAAAGAAAAAGATTGTTTTGTTATTGTAAAGAATATTTTTTTCTATATTTACCTATGCATAGCAGGATCTCGGCATGCTTCAGTATTAGGTCGTCTTGTACGTGTTTCAAGACGTGTTTGAGCAACTTGTAAAAATTGTTCCTTATCAGCAATCGTTTTTTTCACAAATTCAATATTTTGTTCAACATCAAAGATTTCTTGAAGAATCTATATGAAAGAATGAATTATGATTAGAATAATATTTAATTTTCTTTTTCAAAACTAAACCTTTTCAAGATGAGCTTGAATTTTATTTTTAGCAATTTGTTCTTCTTGTACACGATTTTCAAGAGAAACATTAACATGATTCCATTGTGACCACATATCATTATTACTTGTTGCCATTTGTTGATTACTTTGATTGAGTAATTCATCCGATTGAGAAATTTCACTTAATGTTCGACGAATATTTTCTTCGGTATGTCGAGCCCATGATTCAGGTACTGATACACTACAAAACAAATAGTACAATTAAAAATATGGTCTATTATGTTGATTATAAATAAGAAGAATCTCTATATATATTAAAAGCAACTATCCGACATTCAATATATTTAGCACTTCATAGACTTCCTCTACAGTTTATAAGAATATAATATATTGTTAATGTTCTCTCATGTAACCATAGCAACTGATTTTTTTTTCTATGAATTTAACGTTTTTATTAGTTCCGTTTATACGGACGCAGCTATGTTTCTGAATTGAGCATTGATTAGATATTATTTTTATAAGAATACATCAAAATAAATGACTATATATAATTTAAGGCTTAAAGAAAATCCGATAAAATGATTCATTTTATGACAGAGTATTAAGAAAATCAATAGTAACGATATGGGACGATATGTTTAGAGACATTGCATATTTAAATAGACTCTGGTATTGACGATCGAAAAAAAAATAGTCTGCTAACTAACTAACAAATATTTTATTTTTCTGAATATTGAAATACTTACGTATTATCAACACCTTCAATGCCATGATAAAAGTTAATACCACGTGATGTTGTTTTAATATTATGAGCAGCTGAATCAAGTACACGGGCACGAAATTTATCTTGTGCATCAACTTCCAATTCATGTAATGCAGCACGATTGAGACTTAAATATATTAAAAAAATAACAATAATGTAAATTTAATTAATCAGTGAAAACAAAAAGGTACTTACGCATTTTGTGTATTCAATCGTTCAAGCATTTGTCGAAGTTTTTGTTGATTTAATTTAATTGTATCAATTTCCTAAATTAACTTTTACTTTATTTTCATTTTGAAAATTAAATAAATTTACTCGAATAAGTTCACGTTCAACACCATCATGGACAAGATCAATGCCTATAAGAAATAAATAAGAATATATATGATTAAATAATAAAAAAATGTAAGAACCTTGTCGTTTTTCACGTTCATACAAGTTTTCTTGAGCTATACGTAATGGTTTTTCTGTTTCAGCTAATTGTCTTTCAACTTCACGTCGTTTCGCTTCAACATCATCTATTTTACGTTTTATTTTATCTTTTGCTTTATCTAATTCATTCTTCCAATATTCAATATCATTTATACGTTCACCTATACGTTTGGATGATTCAGCATTATTTTTAAATGATTGCTCATCTTTTTCACGTGCTAAACGTATAGCATCAGAACGTAAACGTTCAGCTGCCGAACGAATCTTATCTGATGCAATATAATTTGTTTGTTGAGCATTAAACCAATCTTTTGGTGTATAACGTGTATAAAGTGCTTGTCGTGCTGATGGGAATATTGGTGGTACTTTAACACTATCAACATTATTTAAATAATTTGATGAACTAAATGGTTGTGCAGTTGATGCATTCAATGGTTGTGCTGTTTCAATACGTGCCGATCGATAAAATGTTGATGGACGCCATGGTAGAGAAAGTGATCGAGTAAGTAAACCAGAATATGGTGGAGCAGATGATTGTCGATAATCAAATGTACCAATAGATGGGAGATGTTTACCTGGTTGTGCTTGACGGCCCATACGAGTATATTGAGCCGTTGATGTTGAACCCATATAATCCATGTTTAAAGTACCGATGAATAAACTAGCTAGAAAAAAGAAATAGTTTTTTTCTTTTTCATCAATAAATTATTTTGAGAAAAGAAAGAATTTTACCATATAGATTCAAATTCAATATTATTATATGAGAAAACTTAGATATTTTATTAATGTATTTAGTATTGGAATACTTGCGTATGTATTAGATATTATTTGCGTTTGCTCGACACACAACTCATACACACAACTGAAAAAATAAAAGAATGAATGAGTGACAAAAAGAAACCTTAGTTAAAGTGAAAAGAATTTCTTTTTTGCTCTGCCTCCTTCTCTCTCTCTCTCCCTTTGCCTCTTTTTTGTCTGACTGCTTCTTTCTTGTTTTGCTTTTTCATTGTTGTTGTGTTACCTGTGAGCGTGTATGCGTTTGCGTCGTCAACTAATTTCACTCATGTCCAACGACACTGGCTGCTACAGCTACTGTTGTTATTGTTGTTGTTGCTATTATTGTTGTTGGTGATGTTACTGTTGATCTCCATCGTCACAAGAAACACTCATAATATGCTATTTTTCTGTTTTTTGTTAGTAAACTATACAAAAGAAACCATTTTGTTTTGCACATTTTGTTTTTAGTGATTATTCTAATTATGAACTCAGCAGCAACACCTCGAACATTTTCTTTTCAATAATGAAAATCAATCAAAGAAAACAAAAAAAGAGGGAATATTTTGTCGATTTAATTTCTTTTTCTATCGTACAATAAAGCTTCGTTCAATATTATAATACAAAAGTCTTATAATAAATACTAAATTCTTCGTTTTTTTTTTACATTTGAATTTCAAAACGATTTCTTTTCAAAATATGACAGTAGCACTTACATGGATAAGTAAATCACTTGAAACGATGACAACGTAAACGTAGAGTGTGTCGATACTGCCGGTAAAACATCGAGCAATTTATATAGAATATAACGCAAAAAAATGATTCTGCATACGTGAAAAGGGAATGAAATACATTTGACTATTTGCATAAAAAAAACACAGAAAGAAATAACAAAAGTAAAAGAAAAGATAATATTATCGATATAACTAAAAAAGTATACTAAAGCACTTTAGTCTAAATAGACATATAGAATTTGATTCTATTTATATACTCTTCAATTCCATTGAACTTATTTTCAATATTAAGAATTTATGATTATTGAATTTTGTTTTTTTCCAAATACTAATATGTTTTTGTTGTAGATGAAATAACCATGACTTCTAATTTGAAAAAAAAGAAGAACTTTTTATTTTAATTAAGTCTGGTTCCTGTATTTCTTGGTGCATGATGCAAAACGTTTCAAAATATAACTTTTCATTTCCAAATGTGACAACTAAAGTAATTTTAAAGACATATATATGTCAAACTTAAGGACATTTTGAAAATATGAATATTTCTATATAGATTTTGATCAAATCATTAGAATTAGTTAATCAGATAAATACAAATAAATTTCATGAAGCTGAATCGAGTTGATCCTCTTACGTGATTTAATATAATTTCTTTATCCCTATTATTTTGAGAAGAAAAAATAAGTATAAAATTCAAGAAGTAATTTATTTGAGTGTATTTTAAGAAAAGTACGATGTTCATTGATGTGTCATAAAAGAACATTTTTTAATGCTTCCGGATATGGAATGCAACACTTCAATATGATTGCAATTATTTCCGAGTCATGCGATTCACTTCAAACAACAAAGTAATTCTCTTTTGATTGACAAAAAAACTAGAAATACATTCCTTAACGTTTATGTCAAAATAAAACTTTCTATAAAATTTAATATTTAGAAATCACAATTCGATAATCGTTTCAAAACATCATTTTTGCCATGACTATCATATAAGAATAATAAACGTACAGATTTAAAAAAAATAAAAACGAGTACGAACATATTTTGTTAAGAAATTCTCCTTACAATTAGAAAATGGAATGTTAATAGAAAACGTCACCGATATATAATTGTTACTTTTGACTTGCAGCACTTGTTACCGTTCGATACCAATTGGCAACGTCAACAGATTGTTCAGCTGAATGAATAAAAAATGGCTGTTCCATTAATCGAGCATATTTTGGTCGATCTTGATAATTTTTAATTAAACTATTGAATTCAAAGGTATATAAAAACTAATTTGTAAATTAGAAAAATTTACCATGTATCAACAAAAGATCGAAATATATCAGAAAAGAAAACATCAGAAGGTAATTGAGGTGAATTTTCCTCAACAATACGTGCCATAATATCAAAATCGGTTATACCATTTGCATATGGATGTGTATTAGTAGCAAGTTCAATCTAAATAAATTATTCCATAAAAATCGAACTATTAATGATAAAATTCTTTTTAAATGTTTATATCGAAGAAGAAAATCCGTCCAAACAAAAAACAAAGCTTTTATAATCATATGATTTGTTTTTGCTAAATATTGACAGATCAAATATTAGCATAGATTTGTTTTATTGTGAAATTTACCACATTTAAATGTTCTACATGGATCGATTTATAGTGTAATTAACTCCTTGGCGATGCTGAAAAAAAATTGTATATCACTATTAGTTTTTTATATAATTCCTTACAAGTGAAATTCCCAAACTCCAAATATCAGCACGTATATCATAATTAGGTTTGCCTTCAGTTGTTGGATTTATACGTTCGGGTGATGTGTATGCAACACAACCAGCATTTCGTGAATTAGCTTTTGAATCAATAAGTATACCACAAATACCAAAATCACATAATTTGATATTGCCATTTTCATCAATTAATATATTCGATGGTTTAACATCTAAAAAAGAAAATTTTTTTTCAAGTGAATATATAAAATTGATTCAAACCTCGATGCATTATTCCATGTTGTTGTTTTAGATAATTTAAGGCAGTAACAGTCTATATAGAAAGAAATTATTATCTAATAAATGTAATGAAATATTTTAAAATATACTGAAAAAGTTAATTTTCCAAGAATATATTCTGGTATAGGTTGTTGAATACGTTTGAGAAGTTTATCGAAACAAGATGCCATCAATTCCATACCTATCCAAACGTCTGTCTAAATAATTAAAATAGAAGAATATAATAAGAATTCTTTGATTTCTATATATTATTACTTGTTGAATAAAATAACCGAAACAACGAACAATATGTGGAAAATTATAACTTTTTACAAGTACATCTAAATCCATAATAATTCGTTTATTTTCTTCATGAGATTGTGTTCGAAACATAACCTAATATAGAAAGAAAGTACTTATATATAGTCGTAGTTAAGAAAGATATATACTTTAACAGCTAATATCATTTGACTTGGTTCATGTCGCATTTTAAATACTTCACCACATGTACCAGAACCAAGCAAACATTGTTTAACAATATCTTTTTGTTCGATAAGTTTTCGCTAGAAAATACAAACCAATAAATATCAGAAGATTTGAGAGAAAAAGTATTCGCAATTATTAATAGTTTAGGGAGTTTTAAATTTTTAATCAATAATCCTTTATTTCTGGGCAACATATATATGCGTTGGAATGCATTTATCAACTATAGATATTAATAGCATATTTTTAACTGCTTAGAAAAATATTTTTGTTATCATGTGATGGGTGCTACCAGACGAATATATTTACCCTATCTTTTCTTTTACTGCGTGGTATTTTTAATTAAGTACATTGTATCTACATTTTCCCCCATTCTTATCTGTTCCAGTACAATCACTTTTCTTTGTATCTTTATCATGTGTTATACCCTCTAATACGGTCTAACAAGTTTTTCCCCATAACTCTCTAGTTAAATCTATCTCTTTTAGTAAATTTGTTTCGTTTTCAATCCGTAGTATAGATAATAATCTTGACAGAAATATATGATTTATTCATTTCGTCATTTTCGACGCAGTAGACGACAGATGTGTTCTGATTAGTATTTATTTATGTGTATGTTGTTGATCGCTTGAATGATTATTATGCAACACTAAACTATTAATAGTTTTTTTTTGATAGAGAACTGCAATTTGTTTGTAAAAAATTATTTCTAAATATTACTCTGAAAAACTTTGATGTTTAAAAGTAGGAAGTCTAAAGTCAGCGGGTTCATCAATAATAGCCGGAAAAAGTACTTTTTCTTCTTCTTATTTTTAGGAGACAAATTATTAAATGAAAATTTCATTTCCTACCTCGCCATTAATAAGAAACAAACCAGAATTTTGAAGCACTTCGTCATATTTAGCTTGTATTTCTTTACTAAATTAGAAGTTCATTTTTTTTTCGTATATAAAATTTTTGTCATTTACCTAGTAAGATCAACAGATGGTTGTGGTGAGGAAATAGGTAAGTGAAAAGTAGGTTTACGTGATGATGGAGAATTATCTAAATTTTCTTAAAAAACGAATATTCATTTATAGAGATATATGAAAATCGTATAATCTTACTAAGTACAGGTTTTATTTTTTTTCTATCTACATTCGTATTTTGATTTGGATCTCCCATAATTGGAGCCATTCGTTGTCTCATAGACTCTATGTGATCATGTATAGGAGAAGTTTGAATAGAATGAGTATCTATTGATGGAGATTGAGAAGGAGTTGTTGCTGTTGATGATGATGATTTTGATGAAGGCGACGGTGGTAACATTTGCATTTGTACACTATTGTATTCACTCAATCTTTTTTTTCTGTCAATATCAAACTTAAATCAAGTATCAGTTAAGATTAGCAATGAAATAGAGGCGCCATGAATATTTAAATGACTAACAAAGATTGTAGCGCAATTGCGAGACTTAGAGGTTAAGATCCATATTTTTATTCGCCATTGTTGATTATAATCAATTGTTTTGTATACTTTTCTATGAATTCTTCTTTACTTTTTTGTCATTTATCGTTTTACAACATCGTGTCATTTTCTTTTTATTGACTAATACATTCTTTTCTTCAATATATATACATATATATGGTAATAGAATTGTAAAGAATGACTAATTATATGTATAAAGAGTAGAACTATTGGAAATTTCCTTGATAAGAAATAAATAACATGTATGACATATAAAGTTTGCTCTTTGATTAAATTTATTGCGCAGGAAGAAAAACGATAATAATCTAAGAGAAAAAAGTGAATGTTTACATACTGATAATAGAAAAAAAATCTATAAATAGTTATTATAAAAACATACTACGCAGTAGAAAGAGTACAAGTTTAACATTATTGAAAAAATATGTAGATATATTAACCAATTTACTATATTCAATATTTTTCATAGCTTTAGTCATAAAACAACAAGATATAATCATTTAATATTGTTTTTCTTTTAAGGTGTGACCTCAAGTATTTTTACACTATGTCCGATAATTGTATCGTTATTGAACCTTCAGCTTTATTGGTAAGATAAAATAATTATTTGATGATAAATTAATTTAATATTTTTAATAGGATATTCGTGCAAAACGTGTTCGTCATGATAGTTATCATAGAATAAGTAAGTTTAATTGAATAAGAGAATGTCTTTAATATGATTTTTCAAAAAATATTAGATTCGGATGAAATTTATCAATCATTTTTCCAAACACATACATGTTATGATTGTATGCCAAAGAGTGGAAAAGTTCTATTACTTGATGCACGTTTATCAATACGTAAAGCTTTTTTTGCACTTGTATTTAATAATGTTCGGGCAGCACTTGTATGGCATGCACCAACATCGTCAAATATTGGTTTAATTACTATAAGTGATTTTATCAATATGCTTATCGCTGCTTATGATTCTAAATGGGTAAGAAGCTTTTTTTTATTTCGGTTAAAAAATAAATAGCATAATTATAAAAGATCTTTTTTAAGGTGTCTATTAACTTTCTAAATCTTGATCTTTTGATGAAGAAAGAAATTAATTATAAATAAGAGAAATAATGTATTCAGTTTTGATATAGAGTGAATCATTTGAAGGAAAAGAAGATATGTGTTATCTCTATTTGAAGGGTATAAGTACAATCTACTTCCTATAATAGTTATTATTTTATCTTGATATATATTTTTATAAACAAATAATTAATGATTTCAAGAAATTATTTCAACACTTTTTCTTTGTTCATTTATATTCTCTAATGTATTTTATGTCTACAGACAACATAAAATTAAATATCGACATCTCTCGAGAGAATAGAAGACATTTGAATCATCTTGTGATTATAAATTATAACGAGATTAAATTAGTTTAATCGAACTCAATAATTATATCTTATTTTTTATAGAGTAGTCTTGATACTCTGGAAACATCATCAATATTAGAATGGAAACAAAATCTACAGAAAAAAAATGAACCTGTAGATGAACGTTTCGATTCAAATATAATTCAATTGAGTCCACGAGACAGGTAAATTGATTTTTGTTAATCTTGTAAATTTAATATATATTTTATTATTTAGTTTATATACAGCTATATTGACATCAACTCAACGTAAAGTACATCGTATACCTGTTATTGATCCTGTTACTCGTGATTTTTTATTTTTAATCACAAACAAACGTATATTAAAGTTTTTATATTTATTTGTATGTTGTTAATTTGAAAAATTCTTGATTATATTTTAAACGTTGTTTTTTTTTCTATTTTCTCAGATATATGATCTACCGCAACCTCATTTTATTCATCAAACTTTGGAAGAACTCAAACTCGGCACTTTTGACAAGCTAATAGTGGTAAAAAATACATAGGAAATATTTTTATTCTAGTCATCAGATTATTGATAAAAGATAGATTATTCCTTTAAACAATAAAATTTTGTTCGTTTTATCTTTCATCGGGTAAACAGAACGAATTCTTTTAATAACTGATTATTAACAAATAACTGCATTCTCTGAAGATTTTATAAATAACTTCAGGGACTCAATAATATTTTATTTACGTCTGCGATATATATATATATATATATATCAGAGTGAAACAAGGTGACCTAAAAGTACACAGTTTTGTTTGTTTGAAATATTTTTAATCAGATAGGTTAACAATTAATAGAAGTATCTATTATTCGATTGATTTATTATGAGACGATTTACCTGCATAGCTTAATGTCGTAGTTGCAACCCATAGAAAATTTATATGTCAGTGCGTTATGATAAAGTATTTAGTACTTGAAGTAGATTTTGTTTAGAATACTATTGAACAATTTATTCAAGGGCTATTCTCTGTGAATTCAATTAGACTAACAACTACTTCTAAAAATGAGTGTATATATATATAACTCTGTTATGAGATAAAATCCCAATTTACAAAGATAAAAGAAAAATAATTTTCGACTATTTATTTATTTAGATTGATCTACAAACAAAACTTATTGAAGTTCTTCGTATATTTCAAAATATACGTATCTCAGCATTACCAGTTGTTGATAGTGATAAACGATTATGTCATGTTTATTCTAAATTTGATATAATGGTAAAAATTATTTCGCTTATTTTCACTCTTAAATATTTTTTCGTTATTTCTATTTTTAGCATTTAGCAGCTACACGTACTTATGCAAATCTTGATGTTCCATTGTGTGATATACTTGATCTTATACATGATCATAATACATACCAATTAGTTACTTGTAAAATGACAGATCAATTATTTGAACTAATGGATAAATTTGTTACACGTGAGGTAAATTATATATATTGATAATAAACAAATATAAGTAGTTAAAAATAAGAAAAGAAAA